TTAAACATCATATGAAATAACTTTTGCAAATAACTTAAAATTTAAAATTAAAAAACAAATTCAAAATTATACAAAAAGGAAATTGAAGAATAGAACAAATATTTTTAATTATAATAGTCATCAGTACTCATATACATATATAAATACATGCATATAAAATAAAAGTAAGTTTCCTGGTATCAATATAATAGGCATATGTTGTCATCAGATATAAGTAAACTATTTGTATTTAGAATTTTATTAACAACTAATGAAAAAATTGCTTTTTTTTAAAATAAAGATTAAAAATAAAAATTATTTTTTTAATTATAGCTATTATATGGAAAGTAATTATGGAATTTTTTTACAGCTTATATAATTACTGTATAGTAATTAAAATTAAATATGATTTTTATCATTTTATTTTTTACCTATACGTAACCCCAGCCCGTATTTGATTAGAAGGCTATCATAAATTTGTTACTTCCTTCCTAACGCTATGTGGAAATGAAATTCTGAATTTTGTTTAACGTTAAGATCTCATTCGATCTCGATTTGTTTTACTTAGAATAGATAAATTTAGAATTTGTTCTTGTAATAACTTTTATAATTTTTTATCATTTTATAAAACTTATTGTTTTTTTTTTTCGTCGCAATACGATATGTCGCAAAATGAAACGTAGCCAAAGCTGGTTATTAGTATATATCAAAGGTAAAGTAATCAAATTATTATAAATTAATGAAAAAAGTAATACGTAGATATGTATATATAAAATTCATATGTATATATAAATCAACAAATTAATAAATTTATACATTTGAACATCACTTTTGGAAACTAATTTTATTAAAATATTTTAATATAAAAAAACATTCGTGAATTATAAAACTATGTTAATCAAGTGACAAATCAGTAAATACCTTTCACGTCCACCGATATTAAGTGATCCTTCTTACCTAACTGTTATACTAATGTTATTTTAACTCGCAATATATACAACAGATTCCTAATTAATAAAAAAGGACTACATTGTTATTATTTGCGTTTCATTTAAGAAGATTTCAACACTACAAATTATACCCTATTAAGTAATTGGGTATAATATTTAAATAGTATTGTTTTGTTGTATAGAAACCATAATATAACAGTATAGGTGTAAAAACGAACCTGTAGATTTGATTATTAATGATTTTTTTTCGAAAAAGAATAAAATGCTATATCTATATCGGTATATACCTAATAAGAAAATAATAATTTATGTATGCATATGTTTAGTATACATGTATGTTTGGTCTTAAATATAAAGTGCGTATTTTATAAAATATTATACTCGTATTCCAATTATATATATGTAAATATGTATAGTTACAAGAATACTAGATAGATAAATAATAATTTATTCATAAATATTTTATTAAGACAAATGAATGATAATGAAAATTATTTTTAATTTCTTATTGAAATATTTTTATAATTCTAAATTTAAATTATTTCATTCCATGATACTTACTAATTGTTAAAAAATTAAACGAGAATAGAAAACAAAAATGAAAAAGCAACAACGTGACTTAAAAATTTACAATGTGAAAGTAAAAAAAAAGCATATAACTAATTAGAATAGAATTCTTGTATATCAATTTACTTCTTTACATATACATTGTTATATACATTGTTTTTCGAGATATATAAGAATGTTAAAACATTAAGTAGTGCGTATTACATTAAGTATGATATAAGTATACATAGTTACATATTTACGCGCGTAAACATGTGAGTATTTGTATATTTTGCATTTTAAATATATTATGTACAAATGCAATTATCATAATTATAAAATTAAATGTAAATTAAAATTAACTTTGAGTTAAAACGTATAAATTATGATTAATCAAATGCGTTCCTTATAAGAATATTTTTTATACAACATATACCGGATAACACTGCATTTATAAATATCTGAGTTGTTTGACAAGAAAGAAACGATTATTTTATTTGTAAAAGAGAAAGAATTTTTTGTATAACAGATTTTATTAGAAATTTTGTGCAGTAAAAATTTTTTTTTGTTTATCACAGAAATTTTTAAAATATCACTTATATACACAATATTCTTTATTTTACACTGACATGCACCTGTTGCAGGTACATAATAATGAGCTTATACAATATTTTACTACATTTAAACTCTTCATACATTATCAAGTATGTTAAATGACACAATATTACATTTACATTTCTCTTTTTTGTTTACGTAATGTAAATGTGTACATAATATCGAAATTGATAGATTCTCTTCGTAATAATATTATTAACATAAAATAATAAAAACCGACAAAGAATATATTGAATGCATTTATGCGCAGTACCATAAATTTGCAATATGCTTTCTCTTAACTAAAAACAAACACAAAAAAATAAATTCATAATTATTAAACTAAAACATTTAACAATATAAGAAATTATGTATAATATGATAAATTTTATGTAGAAAATTGTAAAAATATTAAAAATATTACAATATAAAAAATAAAATATTTATAATTTAATTAAATTTTCATTTATATATTTCGAAAGAAATACTCAGAAATGAAAATACAAATGAAAAAACATAATGAATATTATATAATCTTATTAACCCAAACAAATAAAAATATAATATTATATAACAATTTTACAATTTTTCTGTATACATAGTAGCTAATTTTAGTATGTATAATTATTATTAGTATACATTCCTCCTCTTATCTATACAAAAAGTGTAACGAAATAAAAACAAAAAAAAAAAGACAAAAAATAGAAGAAACTATAAAAAAAAATTTGATTATTGCACTCTCTCAATCTTTCAAACAATATCAGTATTGTATAATAAATATAGTGCAATATTTCAAGGTCATTTCTATCAGAATACAAAAAATGGCACACAAATAGATAAAGAAGTATGAGAGAAAAGAGAGTTTTAAATCAGAGCTTTTCAAAAATACAAAGTAATATACAGTTATACTCTTATATTTGTATAAAATGTTTTGATTAACATTGTACGTTATGGTAAATGAATAATATTGAGTATGTAAATAAATAGGTTACCAATTAAAGTATTTGCAAAAAATAAATTTTTTTTTTTAATATTTTTAGTATTTTAATAAAACAAAAATTAATTTAATATTATTATTGCCTATATAGTTTATAGTGATATACAGAAGACAATTTTTGTAATTACACAAAGGAACTTTGTTATTACTTGCAAGAGCCGCTCAAGAAATAGTTCGTTGGAGATATTAAAAAAATTTGTCTTCTGTATATCACTATAAACCACATACATAAATGTATACACAATGATTTTAAGCAATTTTACTAAATAATGAGACTGTTTTTAAATTAATTATTAAAGTTTATATATACAGAAATGAACCGCTCATATATAATTATTATTTATTGAAAAAACCAAATAATTTTTATTTCTAACAAAAAAAAAAATTATTTCAAATTGAAAATCGTTCTGAATTGCTCAAATATTAACATAACAAATTCATTAATTTTACATAATATTATCGATTAATGTATAGAGTGCACATAAATGTGTATAAGGAATATATGTTGATATTTTCCAAATAAAATACCTATAGTACCTAAAAAAAACGTTTTCAACAATGTAACATGAAGTGTATCCTATAAACTTCTATTACACATACAATATATAAGCAAGTAAATTTAATATAAAATTTACGCGACATTTTTCTAAAAGTTAACTCAAAAAAAAACCAAAAATTGAGGTTAAATGCTTTAGAATACGATATAGTAATAATTTGTTTTTATCTTTTACTTGTGTATATAATTAAATTTTAATTTGATTTTTTTTTTTAAAAAGTAGTTCTATTTAGTTCATTCTATATTTTGTAGATTTTATGTTATTTTTTTGTTTTGCCTTTTCAGTAATAAATATTTTTAAAAAAAATATAGTTAGATTTTCCTAAAATAATTGTTTAAAGTAAATAATTCTTTAAATTCTTGTTTAAAATATAAGTAGCATACCGGGTACAATTATTGGCATTCTAAAAATTCGGTACAATTATTGACGCGCCTCGATTGTTATAGTAATGCTTAGTCGAGTATTTATTATAATTATTTGATTATTAATCACAATAATTAATTACGAATTCTTATTATTTGATATTTTGTTCATTCTAATTTTATTACATAATTTAAATTAATTGATATATGAAGATTTGTACAAAATATAAATATTAAAAATAAAAAAAAAAAATTTTTAATTGCATAAATTTATATTATTATTCGTTAAGTTCCGGTTAAGCAAAATTAATTACAAATTCTTACTTTCTTAATCCTTAATTTTAGTAAATTAAGTAAATAATTTGATGGTATAAACGAAATCGAAAAAAAAAATTTTTCTACTGCATAATTCTATAACAATTTGGCCTTTTTTTTTTTTAGAACTAATAAAAATTAACTCTAGCTGCCCTGAAAACTTATATTTTCTCAATAATTATTATGATTGCTTTTTTTTTACAATATAAAAATTAAATACGAAATAAATAAAATTTTTAAGACAAACAATTATTATGTTATATCTTATACCATATATACCAAAACGAATTGAAAAATTTTATAATAAATTTATAGCCTTTTTTTAAATGAGAGCTACACAAAATTCGGAAATTAATCATAAACAAAAGTGTATGAATAAAAAATACATAAATGTAAAAAATTTGAGAGAAACTGTTTTATTCACAATTCACTACTAATATATTGTACATAATATTTTATTGTACACTGTACTAAAAATCTCTTTATATAGTTATAAATGTAAAATAATACGTATTTACGTATAGTTTTATTAATAATACATTGAACCTATATATATATTTTTACATACATACATACATATGCACATAATATAGAAATTTTCTATAAAAAAATAAAATAAAAGAAATTGCATTTTTTAGAACTATAAACACATTTTACAGAACATTAAAGAATATATTGAGAACATTTAGTTAATACATACCTTGAATTAATTACAATTATATATATATATATATATATATATTTAAATATATATTAGAAATAAAATCACTCAAATTTAAATTAACTATTCCAAAAATTGGAATAGGTACATTAAATGTACTTAAAATTGAAAATAAATTAATTTATTTTTTTGCAGATATTTTTTTTTTTTAATTTTAATCTATAGCACTACAAAAAATTTTATTAATTTAAATGTACACATTATATACGTACATACAATTGTAAAACAATGAAATTAAATTTATTATTTTTAATTTTATTATTTTAAAAAACAAAATTTTTTTTTTCTTACACTTTCGTTTTTTATTTTTTAAATAAAATTTTTAATTAAATTTTATTTTCATTTGGAAATAAACACTATTTTTTTTTTTTAATTATTTTTTGTACACTTGCAATTTTACAATTTAATAAAAATTAATTATTTATTTTATTTTTTTTTATTTTTTTAATTAATATTCATATATAAAAATTATTAAATAATTTTTTTAATATTTTTTTTTTTTTCTATAAATTCGCTTATATGTGCAATTATTGGCGGTTCAAAATTCTAAATGATTGCATTTTTTTTATTGTCAATAGCTTTTATACTTGTTGTATTTATGTAAGTATGTATACAGTAAACGTAGTTAAATATTATAAATGAGAAAAATCAAGAAAATTTTTATGAACTATATAAAACGATTTTCAATGTGAAGTGAGAATGAAAATGAGAGAGATAAGAAAAATTTTTAGAATCTCTTTAAAATTATTAACTTTCGAACTGTAAATAACTCAATATATATATACGAGTGTTTATTATGTATAGAAAATAATTTTGTATATACAATTTTTAAAACTAAGCAATGATGAATCTTTTTAAAAAATAAAAAAAAAAAAACCAAATTTTTTTTTCTCTTTTGTAAGAGAAAAAAAAAAATAAACTTTTCTTATTTTTCTTTTGAATATGGAAATAAAAAAAAAATATATACACAACTAACTTACTAACTAACGAACTAAACTAACCATATATGTAATAATGAATATTCTTAAGTGAATAAATTAAATTTTTTTTTGTAAACGTGCGACTAACTAGACATTAAAAAATAAACTGAAAAGACAACAAAAGTTTTACAATTTGTTCTGTTTTATAGACAAACATACATATAAATGATATGCATATAATTTTTGTATGAATATATACACACATCGTATACATATTTATGTAGATTTTCATTTTAATAAACTTATACTTCTTCTACATTGCTGTATATACATATATATATATATAATACTGTTTTTGGTCACAATATGTACGAAGTTTGATCAAAAGTTTTTATTTTTTATTTTTTTTTTTTTGCATTTTTTTTTTTTTGATATTTTAATTAATTGCTTATTTTAATATTTTAACAAAATTTAGATTTTTATTTTTCTTTTTTTTATTTTAATATTTAATTTTTAATATAATTCAATTTATATTTAAAATCTAAGATAGCAAATATAGATTATTTTAAAAGACAGAGAGTGGGGTCAAAATAACGTATATAGTATATGAACAGTTACTAATAAAATGACTAAAGTTACAGTACCTTGCTGTATTTTGCATTTCATTTTTTTATTAAAAGTCGTCAAATGTATAATTAAATCAAATTATATTTTGAAAAAAGGATGTTAACTCCAAATAATTTCACAGATTTAGGTTTTTTTTTAGTACTCCTCTTGGGGATCAAAGGGCTTCCACATGACATCTTTACCTCATTCTATTTTTTGCTATTTACTTGATTTGACCCCATTCTGATTTTACAGATTTACACTTTGTGGATTGCACTTCAAGCTCATTTTAGCGATATTATTGGCGGATTTTCTAAAATATTCTGATTTACAAAATTAGTTTTAATACTAAAGTATACATTTAACGCAGTTAAAAAAAAAATCTGATGTAAGCCGAACATAACCGGATTGCTTCAGATCTTGTTGCACAATATTACTTCTATGAGAGTTCGTAATTATAGTCTTTTATATAATGTACTTGGTTACTTCTTAGTTAATTATTTTACGTAAAAATCGGTTGAGCTGAACTTGAAATACTTGAATGTCAAGCAGACTATGAAAGACAGACAGACATCTTTCAAAAATTAATTTACGGCCGTCAAGCTCCATACATAATACAGAACCTCTATACTCCAATTCGGTACCATTCCATAACCTCCCCATTGCAATGCTGTTGGATGAAACAAGCATTATTTTTCAATTGAAAACTTTTCAATCGTACCGCCTATCCAACTATATTATTAGTGTCACAGTTCACCAATGACATAAATATAGGAATACTTATGGGAATTATTAAAATAATTTAACTACGGCTTTTCAGTAATAAAAATTCACATATTCTTATTATATATAAATACAAGCAGTAACTTATATATTATATTAATTCTTTATGTATTATGTTTTTCTTATATTTTAGAATTAAATTTACAAAACAATATATTAATATATCAAGAAGTACATACGATAGTATTTTACATACATATATACATATATATACACACATTTATATTTGAATATATCATGCATTTTGATATTTGCATACCTTTAGTTTATTATTATATTCTTTTAAATAGAAACACATACATAATTAATGTAGAGGTATCAGTCAACTATAGTAAACTAAATATACAAAATTACTTATACATATAGATGTACATGTTGGCGATAATATGCATAAGTGTGTCCTATTCTTAATTAATTGTTATATAGAAATAATTAATAGCCTATATTAGTAATAGACATTTATTTTATAATTTTTAAGATATTTATTTTATATTTTCAAACACCAGTCATAATTTTACATTTTAATGGTTATGTAAATATTTTAAAGAATGCACTGTTACACCACCCACATTGAATTCTAATTATATACGTGTACAGAAACTAACGCGTGACGTAGCAGGCATATTATATGTAATAAAAATAATTAAAGTTTATAAAACTTTTAATTACTAACATCAAATAATAACACTATTTTGAACTAAACAATTGCACATTAAATAAAAATATCTATGACCACCCATTCATACATATGTATACATACATATATGTATTTATCTCATACGAGTGTACAAATTATGTTGTAGCATTTAAGTAAAATCAACAAAAAAATCATTTATGTACATAATAAAATATAAAATTACACATTAATTAACCTTTGATTTGAAAGGGTTATTATTTTACAAGCATACTGTGCATATTTGTATATATGTATATGCAATGCACATATTTGTGTAATAATTTAATTATAACAAAAATGTACATTTAAACTGCTACTCTTTATTTAACATATAAGTTGAATGTATATCTACTGACATGTTAAGTACCTGCTAATATTTTTAGGTACTTTATATAAATGTAATTATGTATATGATCTATATATGTACACTTTTATAGATAATTTTATACATAATTTAGTAAAAGCATGTCTTATAACTTCAATCTCATAAGATTGAAGTTATAAGACTTTCTCTTTTAAGAAATAAACAGTTTTAAAAATACGACATAACAAATTAAATTAAATGGTACAATTTTGTTTAATAAGTTTTTTGACAATAAGGTTTTAATATCTGTACGTTAAAGAATCATTTAAAGTAATTCTGCAAAAAAATCGGCTTAATACCAAATACGCAAGCATTACTGGGATGCTTAAGGAATGCCGAAAAAAGAGAAACATATTAGAACAGGATATATAGAAAAAAAAGCTGTTTTTCAAACAAGATCGTCAGGGGATACACTTTAATTAATCACTCGCTCTTCTACATCGAGAAGTTCCTAAATATTTAAATGTAAGTACATGATTGATTGGTTCTTGTAGGACTCAGTTTTATTTGTTATTTTACTGTTTTTAGCCGAAATAAAGATGAATCCCATTGGTATTGCATGAAAATGAAATAAAAACCTGTTGCCCATAATCATGTATATAACCGCAGTATGGAAAACAATGACAAGATAAAAAAATGATTATGTTTTCCATACAATAAACTGTTTTATTTTATTTAAAACCTTTAATAAAACTGATATTAAAGCCTCTAACCTATACAGTTTTAAGGGATAAATAATCATTTTTGTTTACACTTGAACTTTGCATATCCGCCACTGTTCATTTAATAATACATTGGTTTGGTTACTGGAAAAATGTATGAGGCAATATGAAATTATTTATTTGATCTACGGACTTGTGAACCTTTGCCATTTCGACTCGTTATTTCTGGTTTTTGATTTGGATTGAATAATAATTGAAAGCGTTTTTTTTTTTACTGATCTCATCAATTATTTCTAAATTATATCATAATTATTATTATAATAATGAAAATAATAATTATATATATATATGATAATTGATTCTTTTAAATTCTTCCAACCTTAGTATAAAAACTCATGTAATAAGATATTAATTATTTCGTAAGATTTTAATGAAATAATAAAAATTTAATATTATATAATATTTCTAACACAGTTTTTAAATTTTTATATATTGAAAAAAAAAAATTTAATTCGACAAATTTAGTTTAGTATGAATCGATAAATACAATAACAAATTAACTACATACATATATGCAAAATAAAAGTTTACCTTAAAACAAAATTATGTAAATTTGACATCATTGAAGAATTTTAATTTTTGATTCCATTAAAGGGATTCTTATTGGAAAAAAATATACATATGTATATATATACGTATATTATATAAATTAAGTAGTGAGCTTGAAATTTTTTTTGTTCAATCCAAATGAACCTTGAAATTTTATTTTAAATTTTATTTGTTTTAATTTGTGCATATTTTTTTTTTATTTTCGATTTTTTCTTATAATCGAATTCCATTTTTTTTCAATATAAAAAGTAAAAATAATAATAATTTATTATACCTAGTTCACATTTTAGGTATATATATGTATAAGAAAATGCGTTATATACATATATATATATACATATAATATGAAAATACAATATGAATCAATGAAATGTATGTATATAAGATACAATGTTGTATATCTTATTTTCTCACCTTTTTCATTCTCCTTATACTCGTAAATATGCAAACACAATTTTTTTAAATATACGAATGCATATATAAACATTAAACTTTTATGTTTGTGACACATGTATATATGTATAATATTATATACAAATTATACCAATTAATTTTAGATAGATATTAAAACTTATTAATATGCATACGTATATTAAAAATTGGGTTAATTATTATTATTAACTACAGAGTTCCAAATTTATAATTAAACATTATACATACATAAATATTTATAAAATTGAATAACATACATATGTATATCTTATATAGGTATATGTATGTATGTATCTTATATAGGTATATGTATTTATGTAGCGCTTTTCTACTAAATATAAATTAATTAGGTTCATTAATATTAATATATAAATTATTAAATTAGGAAGATTTTTAAAGTTATTTTTTATATAGGATGGAAATAGCAATTTGTATTACAACCGCGCACATAAATTTTGAGTAAAAATTTGTTAATCCAATTTTTTTTTTTAAATTGTAATTAAAATTTGAAATTAGTTTTGTATTTGTTTTGTATTTGTTTACATTTTCTTTTGCATATTATCTAAAAAATTTTAATTTTAGCTTTCTATTAAAGGACATATCTATCTATATATATATATATATATATCTAACACTCTAAACATAAAATATTTTAAGTTAATCAAAGTCATAATTTTATAGTACTCCCAAATATATGAACCTATATACAAAACAAGAAAGTAATTGAAGGTACATAGTTAGTATTTTTCACATTTATCGCAGTAGATAATTTTTTATTTTCATATGAGAAAGAAATTCTAAATTTTTAATATTTAAATTATGTTAGTTGTTATACTTTTATATAACAATTTATTTGTTTCCTTACAAATCACCATTTCAGTATTACATTATATTCCTAGAGAAATACAAGCAATATGTAAATTTATTTTGCAAATTTAGCCCTCTCATACGCAAGTATAATAAATATTTATTATAGAAAATAATCGACATACTTATTATATTCCATATTTAATTTGAACTAGTTATTAAATAATAATTATAAAATATTCTTTCCAGAATCGATTTTTATTGAAAAATTTTTAATTGTAAGAAAAGATATTAAAAACTTTCCATTTTACGTTCCTCTATTTATTTACTCTTTTACTTATAATATAAGCTATATATATTTTGCTCATACTAGTGATATTATATTAAATTGATATAAGTATAGTTTTGTAATATCGGTAGAACAGAGTATAATTTAATACATTATATATGGTTTCTTTTCTTTTGTGTGGACTCAGTAATTTTATAAAAAGGCATTCACCTTTATATAAATTATCATAATAGGTAGACAATATTATAATAATTTAGGTAGACAATAAGTAGAAATAATAATAATGTATGTATTGTGTTATACTCGTATATATAAAAATTGTATGTTCATAAATGGAAGTATGTATATGTGTATAATTATTATTATTAAATACGTTATACATATGTATTTTATATGTAGGCATTAAATTATTTTTATTAAACATATTTTAAATTTAATTTGTATTTTTGAAAGGATATATTCTTGGAAGAATGTCGATTTTGTACGTGTTATTTTAATATATGATGAGATGGTATCAAGGTATGTTACAATCCAATTACAAAAGTAGAATTACAAATTAAAAGCTAAAATATTGAAATCAAGTTTATTAATAGCTATCCCATTGTAAATAAAAATTTTGATTTCCTTGAAAAAAAAATAATAAATAATTCAGAATTAAATGCAGTTGTATGAGACGGAAAGGAGGAAATAAATAAGTCAAAATTTTATATATAATAAAATAATAATTTATTTTATAACCTATTAATTACATATATTTTAATCATATTGCAATAACTTTAAATTGTGCACTTGAATATAATTTTGAAGTTTTTGTGTGAGAACTATTTAGGTGCATATGTACTTAAAACTTTAAAATTTACAGTAAACTACACAACATCAAGTGAATAATTATACATACATATTTTTTTTTAGAATTACAATTACTCATTTGTGCGTGAGTAATTCAAATTGCAGAAAAATAATAATAAATTTTATATTGTCATAGCTTAGAAGAAAAGAACAATATTAGTCAATTTTATTTAACATATTATCAGATTTGCCATAATCAGCAAATTCTGAAATTTCGTAAAATTATTAAATTAATAAAAATGTATTAAAATAAATTAAATTAGATTTGAATTAAAGCCCTAATTTGTTAAAATTATTAATTATTGTCATCAGAACCAACAACGTTTTAACTGAAACAATTTAAGCATAACATTTTAGAATATTGATAACTACACTATAGATTATTAAATATGAAAATTCTAAAAATGTAATTTCGTATTGAAAATTTCTTCACACCATAAGAACTCCATAAGACATGTGAATTCAAAAATCAATAATATAAATAAAATAAATGCTCTAATGTACTCACAATTATCATATATACTCTAACAAGAAAATTAAAGATTTATTTAACCCCATTGTTGTTGAGGCACTGTTTTTATATACGTAGTAAGTTTTTTGTATTTAAAAAATCATAAAAGAAATTCCAACACTTCTGCAAAATTTGTATTATTTGTTATTTTATTTTATAGAAGAAAGAAAAAGGTGATCATCACATACCATTGATAATATAATTAAAGTTAAATTTCTGTTTTCAAAACATATAAAATTTTGTATACAATTGCGTATGTAGATTTTCACTTCAAAATTAAATTAATAACTTTAATATCATTTAACTTTAAAAAAAAAAGAAACAAGTTTTTCTACATTATGTTACATATTTTTATTGGAAAACCTGTGATTCGTGTTATACTCTCACATTTCAATCTCTAACTAAAAGCAATAACAACTGATAATATTCTTTTATGTATTCTTTTTGCGTTCTAAGTGGTTTAAGATATAAAAGAATATTAACTATAAGAAAAACAAAACCCGTTTATTTTTTTAACCTTTAGAAGCTTTCTTATTTTTTTTTATTTATATGTATGTACATATATGAATATGCTTTGTAATCAAAAAAACTTGACCATTTTTTGTACCATATGCAATTATATTCTGTCAAATACAAAACAGGATTCAATTTATCTTTTTAAAAATACATGCTAATATTATACAGGCATGTATTATAATTATATACCGAGTAAATATTTTATTACCTTCTAAATATAGTTATCAAATTAGCTTTTACAAAAAATTGATTTATGGTATAAAATTTTTGGTTTAAATTACTTTAGTAAGAATAAAAGAAGGTTCCTATAATATGGAATCCTATAAAAGAAGAATAGAAACGTAGCGAAGACCAGTAAAGGAAGAAATAGAGAGAACAGTAATGCATAGCCTCAAATAAAGTTGCTGGCACACAATAAAATTTGATGAAGCTTTTTAAAAAAGGAAGAAAAAAGTATATGCTATTAAGTATTAAATAGGGAATTATTCTAACCTATGAAGGTTATGTAACACCTTTAATAACACTAAATCAATATTTTATTGTATAAATGAGGACAGTAATTGTTTATCAAACAGTTGGGTTCTCTTAAACACAACTCTGTTTTCTTTTTAAACTTTAACTAAAAATTTCTATATAATGCTATATATTATAGACAACCACAATGAGATACTCAATGAGTTGAGATATGTATGTATATGTTATATACTCGTATCTTATATTTATGAATATATTATTTAAAATAATTTACATAAAAATTCAAATATTACGGTACTTTTTTACCATATAAAATGAAAAAAATTGGAAAATTAAAATATGAGATATGTGCATAATTATAAATTTTCACGTTCATTTCAAATTAATTTTTGCATAATAAATACTCATCTTTTAATGTAACAAATTTTTATAATTAATTAAATTTTGAAATATTTCTTATTTATAAATAAATTTTTAAGAAAATGCTGCACTAATATACAGTTTGAAAAATTTTTGGAAGATTATATTATTAAAGAATTATTTTGAGCTATTTCTAATTATGTGCACATAAAGATTACGGACATGTATGCATGCACGTATGTATTTGAGTACTCATGTATCTCATTTATACAATATTTTTGAAAAATCCAAAAAATGTGATAAATAATTTGTTTTTTTGTAATGTAAGTAATCACGTTAATGACAACGTGAATTAATGAAAATGAATATTACACATGAAAAATATATTTTAATTTTTATGAATAGATAAATGCACATAATTACTCAATTATAATTATAAGTATGCGCACATACTAGAGTGATTATTTTATTACTTACTTATTACAACATACATATAAGAGTCGCAACTATAACTGAAATACAAATATTTTATAAAAATTTTAGTACATTTTTTAAGCAAAATTTATAATTAATAAGGAAGTATTTAGAAAAACAAATTGTGACATTATTTAAATATTTATGATGTATTTAGAAAGTTCTTATTAGAAAATTCTTAAATTATAGTATACGCATATGTATGTAAGAGTACTCGTATGTAAATATGTACACACTTTAAAATTATGTGACTGGTCACACAAATATTTTACCTCGTTTAGAATTCAATAAAGTAGCCTATTTTTTTACCTTATCACAAAATAAAAAATAGTTTATTTCATTAGTATACATATAAAAAATCTAATTCTCTGATAAAGTATATTTTTGTCTTGATATCTAGTAATTCATCATAAATTAAGTTTACTAAGGTACTAAAAATGTTACTGCTTAAATAAAATTTTGAATAAAAAAATTATTCCGGTTATTAGAGAATTGTGCATGTAATCAATTGATCCAAATTTTACTATTATCAAACAATTTATGATACTTTGAATTTCAAGATTTCCGGCAGAAATACTAATATATGCGTATGTATGTGAAGAACAAGAAAAAAATAAATCGGTTTTCTACATGAAGATTGTTTAAAATTACATACTGTCTTTGCGAAAACTAAATTTAAAAAAATAAGGTTTAGTATGGATTCTCTACATCCATATACATTTATAAAAATATTTCATTACACGTACGTATTAAGGTTAATTTAAAAACAAAATCTTACATGTGTATTTCTAATAGTATCTCGTATGTAAATTTTTAAGTGGAAAAAAAATTATAGTTAGTTCTTTATTTTATGTAAGTATATTGTAATTACAAATTAGTACATACTATCGAAAAACAGATAATGTTAAAAACAAGTTTACATTGATAAATGCAAATAAAATCTGAAATGTTTTATATCCTTTATATCCTAAAATTAATATTATTTTCATGCTCTATTGGTATCAGTCAAAACTCGTACTATTGAGCCAACGCCACTTTTTGCAAATGTTTTTTCATGCCATTGCAATAAATGACCGCTTGACCCTTCCGAAGGTTTTTCAAATCCTCGATAAATATACTTCATTAATACATCCAACAAATTATGTTGCTCTAAAGTATTGATAGCGGAATCCATTTGAGAATACTTTATAGAAAGCAAGACTTTTAAAGCGATATTTAAAGCATGATCCTGAAAAAAATAAGACATTTTATCATTCACATTTTTTTTTTACTGAAATGTATAATTATGTACTTTGATTTGCTGGTTCTTACAATCCAAAGGTGCATTTTGTAACACGTTTAGTAAAGCCTCATTATATTTTCCTACGCTAAGTAACCCGGATATTTCATTTTCATCGGGACCTTTTTTACCAGAATCTGACTCATCCTCTAATATAAAATTATCTTCGTTATATTGATCAACATCAATTTTTCTAAATGTTGAACTAGAAGTATTTTTGGCCATTGTATTGATTTTATTTTTGGAATACTATTATTTATTTTCTACACAAAAATATTTATTTAGCGTTTTATAATATGATCAAATACTAATTGTATCTTTAGTAAATGCCCTACCCACTTAATGTTATCAATTAGAAAAATGAGCTTTGTAACTTAATTTTATGATAGCGCTGAAAAATTTTTCAATTGAATATTAAATACTTTTTCAGTTAATATGTATATCCTATTTAGTTGCTTAATTATCATTAATTTTATAAGTTAATTCAATTTCTTAAAATTTTTTTATAATTTGTGTAGTGTTTCAAATGTGTAGTGTAAAATAACTCAACACCAGACTAGATTTGAAAGTCAAATAGGGTGCTGCTTTAAATGTCAAACACAATTTGTTGGGAGCGTTTTTTAATTTTTTTTTTTTTTAGTATCGATAACATTTTACTTTCTACTGGATGCGAAAACATCTGAGGTATTGTGAGCGCAAATAAGTTATATCATTTTAATGGTCCTACATGTTTTTTTTATAAAAAGTGGCGGTTAAGCTGGACTTTATAATTGTGATTATGACTTTTCATCAATTTTTTAAAAATGGCATAAAAATTTAACTTTATAATTGTTCGAAACATAAAAGCCATCCGCGTTTAACTTGACATTTGATTGTGCCTTCAAAGTACCATTTTACTCATTAACTAAAAGACCAAAAATTTAACTGATGATTACTTTCCGCAAAAATACCACTTAATCATATTTGTGATATAATGAAGTCTAAGCCATTAAAAGGAAACAGTCGTTTTATAGAGTCTGATTAATTCCTTTAGTATTCGAAATTTTAGTTCTCTTGTCATTTAAATGTCAAATTTGACATTTTCAGAACTATTTCACTCCGACTATAATTCATTTCATTCATAAAGATAATAAATAAATACGACAAAGCTTAAAATTTACCTTTACAAAAAGTTACCAACTGTTTCAAATAATTAAAAAAAAATAATTAATTAATAAATAATTAAATTTTTATTAATAATAAAAGAATAAGGTTTTAAAAAAAGGTTAGTGTTTGTAAAAATAATTTATTTTTATTATTTTTTTACCTTGATTTATTAGAAAAATATCTAAATAATAGTTACATTGTATACATCATGCATTGAAGTGAAAGATTAGATGACGAGTGAAAGTTGAGGAATGAAGAATTCATAGAAATTCATTGAATATGATATAATATATAAACTAATGTCATTAAATACATAAATTATACAAAATACAAATACATAAAATAAACTTACAAATGTCTTTTCCAGAATGGAAGACGAAATTAAGCGTATGTGTAAGAGCTTGGTGGAATGGTTCAAAGTTTTAAATATACCAGCTCCCCATTCCACTGTAGAAGAGTTAAGTGATGGTGTTGCTTTTGCTCAAGTTTTGAATCAGATTGCACGAGAAACTTTTACAGGTAATATACACTTAAGTAAAAAAATACGTATTTATAAATTTCATTGGCATTTTTTTAAGACTCATGGCTATCAAAAATGGTAACTGGATCTAATTGGAGATTAAAAATGAGCAATTTAAAAAAAGTTATTGAAGGACTTTACGATTATTATTCTGAAATTTTAAACTTAAATTTAAACAATTTTTCAAAACCTGATGCAATGAAAATTGCGGAAAAATGTGACATCATTGAAACTGGAAGATTATTGCAACTAATATTGGGTTGTGCTGTTAATTGTTCCGAAAGGCAAACTTATATTACACAAATAATGGAATTAGAAGAATCCCTGCAGCAAACAATAATGAAAGCTCTACAAGACTTAGAATCAATTTGGGAAGGATCGTCGGATATATCGCTTATTGGAAATTTTGAAACAAGTGATGTGAAAATAATTCAAGAAAGGGACTTGTATGCACAAAAGTGTTATGAAATGGAAAAACAAGTATGAGATTAATAATAAATTATGTTTTTATTATTAATTTTATGTTATTTTAAGATTCAAAGACTTCTAGATGAAAAACTCAATATGCAAAACGAAATAACTAGATTACAAACTGAAATTGAAAAAGTAGAGAATTCAACTGTAATAGGTCCTGAAGGAGATTCAATTGGAGTAATTCGCGAAGGCTCTGACCGTTTTAATGAGCTAAGAAAAAATGTTGAAAAATTGAAAGAAGAACTTTTACAGTCAGAAACAGTCAGAGAAGATATAAAAATTAAATCAAAACAACAAGAACAAGAAATTAAAACTCTTAAACAAAAACTTGAAGATGCAATTGTTTGTATAAAGTTTTAAATTATGTGTAATATTTTAGTATAAATTTACTTAAGTATACGTAATTATTTACAGCATAATAATACAGAACTTTCGCGAATCAAAGATGAATTGGACATCCTGCGGGAAACTAATGAAAAACTCAAAGAGTGCGAAATTCAAAATACAATCTACAAAAAAAAACTTGAAGATCATAATGATCTGAAAAAACAAGTGAAACTTCTGGAAGAGAGAAATGCTGAATATGTCCAACAAATTGCACAGTGTGAGGAAGATTCAAAAAAACTAATAAGTATGAAAGCTCAAATTGAACTATATAAGAAGGAGGTAAGAAAAAATAACTATCATGGCTTGAAAATATTTATTAAAATTTTGTAGATTCAAGAACTTCACGCAAAAATTGATGCTGAAATGAGTAAAAATGTTCAATTAGAATTTGGAAACAAAAACTTAGAAACCTCTATAGCTGCACTTCAAAGAGCTAACGAAACTCTAACAGCTGAAAGAGATACTTTAAGAGAAAGTATTGACGAATTGAGGCTTAATGGCACCCCAGCTTTTGGTAATAATTTTGAAAAGAATAATAGAAATTAAATAAGTAGTTTATCATTATGTTAACTTGCAGTATCTGGGAACAGTGTATCAAAAGAAATAAAAAATTCAGAATTAAAACAAAAAATTGAATCACTAGAAGCTGAAAATAAAGCTTTACGTGAAGGCCAGGGAGGACAAACAGCATTAGCTGTACGTAAACTTATTCCTTTAAGTTTTCAAAAATTTATTCAATATGTTCAATATTTTTTTATATCTTCAAACTTATTTTTAGCAACTTTTCGATGACGCTAATAAAAGAAACGACAATCTTAGAGAACAGTTAAAAAACGCTAACGAACGAATTTTAATTCTTACTCAGAGTGATAAACAAAAAGATAAAGTTCGAACACCTGACGACAATTTGAATCTTCAGGCTGAAATTAATCAATTAAAACAAGTAGTTTTAACTAAAGATCAAGAAATTTTAGCTTATGAGACACGATATCGTAAGTGTGTAGAAAAAGCCAAAGAAATTATTAAAAACATTGACCCACACATTTCTAATGGTAAGGTGGTACATATTTCTGTTCAATTTATTTTCTTACTTCAAATATAATTATACTTCTAGCCCTAGAAACAAACTTTGAAAAGCCGGATGAGGAAAAACCGCGGATGAGCGAAATGGAAGAAAAATTGATTGCTTCAGCATTCTACAGGTTTGTTAGACATAATTAAATTGTGTTTTTTTAAAGATGTTTGTTTTAGGTTCGGTGTTAACGCACAAGCAGAAGCTTTGGAAGCTAAATTAGCGAAGCTAATGGGACAAGGTTATAGTTTTTTAGCCAGACATAGGCAACTCACACCAAGAAAATCAAATCAAATTTAGTTTTTTTGTTTTGTATATAGTATATTCAGTATGTACCTAGATATCTTATAAAACATTTTAATAGATAAATTTGCAATTTTCAATTTCCATTAGTTAAGAAAGGTGTGTGCTGTTTATTATTTCAGTTCTTATGTTTGAAAACTGGATAAAATAACCAATCATTTACAACTCACCTTTTTTGAATTTAATAATTTAAAACAAAATTTGTTTTTGTATTTACATTTATTATTAACTTTAGTTTTCAAGGAAGGATACAAAATCAGTTAACGTAAAAAGCTGGTTTTCTGAGGATGCACTAGGTATCGTCTCAGGGACAGGTCTTTTTGGATAAATCAGATGAACATTCTGCTTTTTTTCAATATTCCAATTTAATTTGTTGCATTGATCTTCTAACTCTACTGGTGAAAGCCAAGTCATTTGGCATAAATTGTTTTCAAAAATTGTTGTATATGCATTTCCGATAACATTTAGTGTTGTTTGTTTAATCTTTACTGTAATATAAAAAAAACTATATTTTAGGTTTTTTTTTAAACGCGTCAATACCTTCCAATTCCGATATCATTGGCTTTAGTTCATTTGGCCATTCCCAAGATGTTATTAATTTTAGCACCAAATCTGTTTGGCAATTCCACATCGCAAGATAAATCTTATGAAGACGCTCCAAATTCTTGTCACCTTTACAGTTATTTGGTATTCTTTTCCACAAAAACTTAGAGCTCGACCTGTAATTTTTTTTTTGATAGATGGTACATTTATACATTCATACTTGTACTCAAAAATGTCACAAATAACTTACAAATCATCATTTAATAAATAAAAGGAAAATAACTGTCCGTATCCATCAGCGGTAAGGGTCCCATTCTACAAATAAAAATATTTTGTTTTAATTTTTTCATACATATTTTGTTTTTGTTATAAAAAAAAACTATCTCCTTTGTCATTAATTATAAATAATCAGTATAAGACTTGACATCAAAAGCAATATTGTTTAAGACTTCCATAATTCTTTTTGCTTCGCTATTTTCTTTTGATTTTTGTTTAAATAAATCAATTCAATTTGTAGTTATCTAACCTCCAATTCATCATCTTCAAGCTTGTGAATATTTTCTAAAAATTTTTGCATTTTATCACTATTGTTTTTCAAATCACAAAAGTGATTTTGTCTAATTTATCAAAAAAGAATTTCTTTACTAGCAGCTTGACATTATACTTTCAATGTGACAGCTTATAATTTGACTTAAACTGTTTAATGCGCATCAGCTATTACAATTAGATGTAATAGATGATATGCATTAAAGAGCGTATGTTTATAAATTGAACACAGATTATTTGCGTTCCATGAACGTGTTCAAACTACTTAAGGGTAGTTAAAATTGAGCACAACTACACCAAATCGAACAAATGCGTAGGTGATTTTTCTGCACAAATGTCCGTGACATTTTTTTTAAAACTTGAAATGCCTTTTTTTGTTAAATAGACATTTGAACAATAAAAAAAAGCTTTGTATATTAAAAAAAATGGTAGCACCATAAAGGTTAGGTATATACTAAAAAAGATATAGTTTGAGAACGCATATATTATGTCTGTCTGGGATAAGAAAGTTTTTGAAAACTTTATAAAACTTGAAAAACTTTATGAAAATGTAGGCAAAGCGTCTGATATAATATCTTTTGAGTAAAAATGGGAAAATGATGACGTCATCGTTTTTTCAATGTTTCAATTTTTTTCAAGTTGTGTAAAGTTTTGTAAAATTTAGTGTTTTAAAAGCTTCTAAAATCATAAAAATGTAAAAAATTTATAAATGTTTTTGAATTTGAAGTTTATTATCAATTTGAAAAGTTTTTTCAACTTTTCCGACTAGTTTACTTTTTTAAATGAGAATATTTTTTCTTTTTGTGAGAAATTACATCACTGTTTTCTCTTTTTTAAGTTTTTTCAACTTTTATAGCAGACAAACCTATTGAGTCTGAGATATTTTTTTTATCACCAAATCCACTTCAATCTTTAAATTGTAGTATCAATTCCATTTTCCAATTTTAATGAGGGGGAAAGGGAAAAATGAGAAAAATGGAAATTCGTGTAAAAGATGCAATTTTTAGTAATTTTTTTGTATCCAAATGTGAATGAGGGCGTGAGTTTTAGAAACTCTTGGAAAGGTGGTATATTTAATGTACAAATGTGATTTTATTTTTGAAAGAGGCCGTGGACCTTTTTATATAAAAATTTATATGAATAAAGATAACATCTCTAAATTTTAACTTCATTTACATTACACCCACATATGTAATATGATTATATGAATAATTAGTATATGTACATATGTATACCAATTGTGATTCATATTCATATTATTGAAATTTTAGAAAAAAAAATAAAATTAGCGAATTTTGTGATCACTATTAGTATATATTTTTACAGTTCGATTTATTGACATTATCTTCCAAACTCGTAGATCTTCAAGAACTATTCTCTTGGATTTACTCGTAAAATTTATAATAAACATACAAAAAATTTGGCAATTCTTGATTAAAATTTAAATTTAATTTTAAATAAAAAAAACTACATATATACTGAAATGATTTGAATTCAAAATGTTAAAATTAAAAAAAAAATTATTAAAAAAATATTGATATTTTATCGTAACAGTTTGTCATATTATAGACACGAATCATTTATTTGAATTGGTTTTTGTTTGCAATAATAACATTGAACATTTTACGATAATAATTATCACTATCATTTAGTTAGTGATTTGATATTCAGAACAAATCCCAATATAATAGTAATATATAAAGAAAATAGCCACAGTTCTGTTAGCAATACTCAAAACTCACATAAATATATGTATGTATCATAAATGCCTACTATAGTTATACGAAAAGTTTCTAGACATTTACATATATAAAACTTATGTATATACATACTTATTTAATAAAAAATTAAATAAGTAGATAATTATTAAAATTACTTTTAATTATTATCTACAAACGTGGACTAAATATTGGCAACAAAAAAAATTGAACTACAAAATAAAAGAAAAAAATTATTGTATAAGGATCATTAAAATACCAAATTGTATTTTTTATATAACATGTATTTATTACATACATAAGTATAAGTGGTATAATTAAAGAAAAATTTAAAAATTTTCTCTTAAATTTTATTTAAAATAATAAACTAACTCAGTTTAAATATTGTATAATTTAACGTTAATTTTTGATAACGTATAGATTTAACATATATGGCCAAGTTCTTGTTTACGGGAGAGATATGATTGATATCTACTTGCTGTAGAGTACACTGGTTGTATATATAGCGTTTTATAACAGTGATGAGTTTATATGATGAGTATATCATTTTTTTATTTATTTATTATAATTGTTATTTTTTTCGATACAAATTTATTTGAATACCTCTACTGATATTATACGTTTTTCTCCCTTCTAAATTTTAGTCCTACATGTATACACATACTCATATATATTATACAGATATATATATATATATAATATTTTAAAAATATATATAATTTAATATATTATCGCAAGTGTTATACACTTGTTCTTTATTATGTTTTAAATATATTATGTGTATATATAATGTATGTAAATATACTTTTTTTTTTTTTGTTACTTGTAAATGTGAAAATGTGAAATTTTAAATAATAAAAAAAAATAAAAAACCAAGCCCGCCATATAAATGTGGTATAAATTTTTATTATTATCTTCATTTTTTTTTTTAAACGAACTAGGTATTGTACACATCATACTATTTTTTTTTTTTTTCAAAAAAAAGGTCTAATTAGTATGCAATTCAAGACTTCATTCCACTACTACCTAATATATTATTTCCTTTCGAATTTGTTTTATTTTACTTATATTTTTTTTTTAACTTAAATTATTTGCTACTAATTTTGTACATATGTATGTACATAGTTACATAGGTGTATGTAATATTATAATGGTATTTTAGTACTTTTTTGTTATTGCTTTTCGTTTTTATAAATATAATCTTTTTGAAAAAAAAAAATATTATTATGTATTTGGATATATGAAGATTCTAATAAGATTGTGCGATCGAAGTCTCGTCTTTAAACCAAAAAAAAAAAAGCATAAACAGAAATGACGAGAAACCACAACGACATAATAATGTTAAAAATAAAATTGAATTTTAGTTTCAGTCAATTATTAGAGCTTCAAACTTCAGCTTTTGAGTTGTTTGGTTTGATGTCCAGAAGAAAATTTTGAGGAATTTTTTTTTTTCTGAATTTTTTGTTTTGTATTTCCAAAACTCTTAAAGTGTTAATTAAACTGTTTAAATATTAAACATTTTTTTTTTTGCTCTCACATTAATAAATAAATTTAATAAAATTGTGGTCGTAAATAGTAGAACACTTATTTTCCTTATTATTATCATGTGGACCCTTGTTAACATACATAATATTATGAGAGAATTCTAGTTAAAAATGTGCTAATTTTCTTGTTTTCACTAAAACTGAAAAAAAGAAAAGAAAAGATAAATGAAAAAAAAAAAAGCAGTTGAAATTTTTTTGATTTTTAGTAGATTTTTGTTGAACACTAACTAAGCAAATAATTATTTTTTTTTATTTCATACGTCTATGTAAAAGTAAATATAAAATTCAATAATCGCATACATATAAAATACAATATAACATTATTTTTTTTTTTCGTAAATTTATAGTTAAATAGTTTTAATTATCAATCAAAAAAATTTATATATAATTTGCTAATAAATACTATGAAAATTCTGGCAAGATGTCGGCATAGCTGAAATTTTTTTCAAAAAAAAATTAATTTTTGCAATCGGCTATGCCACATCAAGTCACGATATTTCATAGTTTAAACCAACATTATTTATACATATATGGAGAAACAAAAAAAAATTTCGCAAAAAATATTATAAGTGTTTTTTTTTTTTATATGTATATAAAATAAAATAAAATTATTAAATAAAAATTTATTGAATAAAAATATAGAAAAATTTTGTATCAAATATTAATTATAATTTATAATTAATAATTTTAATTAATAATATTGTATTTAATAATTTTAGTATATTACGGTGATATCGCAAATTTATTATAGCAATACGGTATTAATACGCAATTCAATTGTAGTTGCTTAAATGCGTGTAGTAGAGGAACTACAATTGAAAAATATAATATTAAAAAATGTTGTTGCAATTTTTGTAGTAGAAATTATAATACTACATTAATTACAATGCAATTTTGAAGTTCAATTATAATTGTATTAATAATTTATTGTATGTATATACATATATACTGATACATACATGCAAAAATTTTATGATTAAATTAATATTCTATAAAGCAAACTTGTATAATATAGAAAAGGTATAATATACTCGTATATAGGAACAAACGTACAAGAATACTAAAATGAAATTCAAATTTGAAATAAGAATTTATTGTTGCTTTATATAAATTGTTCTTTTGTTTTTATTAAAAATATAAAATTAACTTTTTTTTTTATTAATTAAAACAATATTTTTTAATATTTTTTTTCTCTACATACAATTAAGTATGTATAAAGAAAATAAACAAAAATTAAAAATTTTCTAATAAATTTTTAAGAAAAAATAATTTTTAATTTTTTAACCTTCAAATAAACTTAATTCGGAATTGATGTATGTACATATTTTTTAGATTTCGTAACATTTTCTGAAAAAAATCTCTTCTGTAAACTATATTATCAGAAATATTTATAGTTAATATAGATTTAAGGCGGCAGTGGTCTAAAATTTCAATGCAATCTTCGGATTTTTGCATATAGAGTAAATAATAATATATTAAGTAGGTTCAATAGTAATAATTCAATATAATTATGTATATATCTAGATATTTTTAAAATACATACTTACATACATAATATTATATTAATAAATCACAAATTGAACACTGGGGTTTTCTAAAATTATTTTTAAAAAACGTGTATAGATAGTTGATATTTTTCATAAGAATAGATATACTATATGTATATGTATGTGTTCACGTAAATAAAATGATGATTTTCGAAAAATTATAAATGAAAAGATAAGTAGAGTAGGCCTTTTCATAAACGTAGTATATCGCGATATATAACGAAAACTGCGCTACATTCAACGTTAATAAACAAAAATGTTGCTAATACTGTTCTTATAAACATTATTGCAATATAGCAATAATTAGTTATATGAGAAGCGCAGTTAAATTATATGAACCAATTTGATTTTATAGAATAGTTCTGAATATATACTGCATATTCAGTACGTTATCAAAACCTCTAGAACATACATAATATATTCATTATTTAAACAAGTTATACATGTAAAATCACCCAAACAAAATTGATTATATTTTAATTTAAAAATTTTATCTTATTATAAATTATTGTTTGTAAATATACAAACATAATATTAATATAAATTGTATAAACTTAAATTAAATTTAAATAGATTTGTGTACCAACATAGAAATTCAAAATTAATATTTCTATTTTATTAAGAATGTTATTGAACGTATTCATCAATAACATTCTTAATACAATTCAAATACATAAAAGATATTCATATACATATTTTTTATTGTTATACATATACGAAGTGTATATATTAATACAAATATATATGAATGATAATTTATGCTAATTAACAAAGTGTTATCAAATTAGATCATAGTTTTTAAATTAAATATTTTTATCATAAAAATTTTATTAATTAATTAAATAAAAATAGCATTTTTATTTGAATTAAAATAGCTAGCAAATAATATTATGTTTTCTTTTCTTAATATAACAATTTATACATTAATAATTATATAATTATTATTCCTATTAATACATGATTAATATAGGAATATTAATTATATAAATTAATAATAAATTTTCAATAAAGCTATTGAAAAATAGATTTTTTATAAGTAAATAATTTACGTTCTTTTTATTCACAAATTATGTAAATACGGAAAAAATAAGTTTTGCCGCACACAAAAAGCCAACGAATGTCGCTCATCTAAACAAAAAAAAAGAAAAATTTAAGTGAAATAAACATTAATTCTAAAATATGTATATAACGTATATATGTATGTAGTTTGAAATCTTTTCATATCCTTTTTGACCAAAATTTAATTTTATTATTACCTAATCATATAAATAAGTTTCTATACAGTAACACATAATATGTGTGTTTGTAATGAAATAATTGTACCGTTAAGTACCGTTAGACCATGTATCGTTAAGTAGCTACCATTAAAAGCCTGATCATTTATCTCACTTTTTATTCGTTTTCAAGTCAAAATTTTCCGTTTTTCTAAAGAATTTTTCTTTCTTCCAATAAGATTACTCATTTTTTCAATTGGATTATCTCATTTACTCTCAAATTATCGACTGAACCTCTCAATTTCAAAAACAAAAATTTGTACACATTTACAATAAAAACGAGATACGCAATTTCGAATAATTTCTACTTAATCGAAAATTACATTATAAAAATGTATGATACTCACTTTTTCAAATTAGAATTATAATTTTTTTATAACACATACATATATATGTACATAAGTCATTTTTCCAATTGGATTACTCATTTTTTCAATTTGATTACTCATTTTTTCAATTGGATTATCTCATTTTTAACCAAAATATCAATTAATATTTGATTGATCAGATTTCATAATTAATGAAATAATAATTTATTTCATAATGTGTTATATATTACTATACAATTCATATTGTGAATTGTAATTGCTGAATTGTTTGAAATTATAAGTCTTCAGTCACCTTCAAAAACAAAGTGATAGAATAGTGATTAAATTTCGTTTTTTTTTTTTTTTTGGAAAGATACCCATCCCGGTGAGTAAAATGGAAGATATCCCAATCAGGTTATTAATATACTGTTTGATATCCTGTATCATAAAATCACCCAATGCGTATTTATTAAATTTATATGAAATTAAATAATAATAAATTTAATTGAAAAAAATTTATTGAAAATAAATGCGTTTTAATTAAAAAAAATGGACACTTACTAAAATGCAGATCTAATTTCAACTTAACTTATTCAGTAATAAAATTTTAATTACGTAAATAAATCAAATTGACATTAGATTTTCATTTTTGCAATAGACGCCCATTGTAATGTCAAATTTAAAGTTTTTTGTGCCTTTGCTCATATTTGAATGAAATAATTGTAAATTTTTTTATGAATTTTTAAAAATATATGTATACATATATGTATTACCTTGACTTCCAAAATGCAGTAATTTTGTATTAATACACAATTCAGCAATTCACACTTATGAGCTGAATTGTATATTAAGACCGTATTACTGTATTTTGGAAGTTAATATTATTAAAACAAAAAATGGTTGTAAAAATAATGGTTTTTTTAAGTAATGTATTTTTACAAATTATGTTTAAACAATAATTTAAGTATTAAATTAAACTCAAAAAAATTTTTTTTTTCAGAAGAAAATCAGCTTTGATAAAGTGCGTATGTAGCGCACGAAATATATTAGCGAAAAATAAAAAGTATTTTATTCCGAATAAAAGGAAGTTTTCTTTTCACACCAATAAAAAAAAAAAAATATTAAATTAAAATTTTTTTTTGGTTTAATATTACCACAAGTATTTGTGGTAAAACTAAAAATAAGTAATGTAAATTTGAAAAAATTTTCAATATTAATATTTTAGTTTTCGATTGAGAGATCTGATAACTGCAAATTTCAAATTACTATTAATATTAATTAATTATTATTCAAAATAACTTTTCACTGTTTAGATTTTAATAATTTAAAAATGGTATAACGTCTACATGCTCTCAAACAAAGACCTGTTATTACATAGGTGCTACCTGTAAATTTTAATAAAAAAAATTAATAAAAAAAATTATAAATAATAATAATAAAAATTGAATAAATGAAATTGAATAAATTGAATATAATAATAAATTAAATAATAATAAAAATTGCAATAAAGGTACAAAAGGCAAGGTACACTTACGTATACATTCTTATATGTAAAAATTAACAAAATCACAGTTGAAATTTAGTACATACATTCAATATAAATTTACTACATATATACATATGTGTTTTTTTTTTTTTGTGTTCCAAATCAAACAGAACCTTTTTTGGTTATTAACAGTGACTGAAATTTAAGTATGTTTATAAAACATACAAATGTATATATATATATACCTATTTTTGTACACCGTATTCATATTTACATACATATTGTAATTATTTTCAAAGGTTCATTCAACTTCTTTTATTTTGGAAAAGAAATAAACTTTCAACATTACCTTAAAATATTTTTAACGCTCCCTTTTTCTTCACCATTCCAAACATTGATATTTTAAAATTTTTTTTTTTGTGTTTTTTTTAAGAATATGTGATCTATTGTAATTTCAAGAAATGATCATACTTTTGTGATTACAAAAAAATTATTTATTCAGAGAACGTTTTAAATAAGTATGTGTTTGATTTTTTTTTTTAAGTAAGGAGAAATTAATATTTTTTGACCGGATATTTTGTTTATATATAGAAAATGAAAAATATATTCTGGCAGGAAACTTCTAAAGTAAGTATTATTTTTATGGACCTATTGATGAATTAAAAATTTATTTATATAGATTATTCACTTAAAAATTATGTATATAACATTTATAACTATTAATTTAATACCAATTTAAAATAATAAAATTAATTTTATTATTTTAAATTGGTATTATAAATTTTAAAAATTTATTTCCATTTATTACTTGTACACAATTTTTTTTTTTTGAAATTTCATAATAATCTGTGGTCACAACATAGTTTATTGGAGAAAAATGATGGGTTTTAAACTCTTGCGGCCTGAATATCAGACTCAACTTATCTTCAGAAATTTTTTAAATCTTAATTCTGAAACAACTTCAAATTTTTGCAAGTAACAAAAAATCAAAATTTTATTTAACAATAATGTAATTGAAATTCGATTTACTCATGAGAAGTTTTTTTAAATTGGAATGTCTTAAATCTTATATGGAAATAATGTAAATTTAGAACAACCTATTTTCTTAGTAATTTTTAAGATATTTATTTGTAATATATATTTAATTTTTCTTTTTATATATTTAGGTAATGGATAACATACATATATGTAAACTAAAATTTATAATGTGTAATCAGAAATAAAAATTGAAAAGATTAAAAAGAAAAACAAAGTGAAGGGAGTAACAAATTATTTTTAATATCTTCTTTCGATTGACTACTTCAATTCAATTCAAGAACATATTCTAGTAGTTAAAAATAACAGCTTACTTCATCACGGTCTTCATCTCATCTTAACTTAATCGGTCTTTCTTAAAAAACTTAATAAAGCTAATCAAAAATTCAAAATTAAACATTATAGAAATAAAATTTTAAAATAAAAACACTTTTTTCAACAATTTTATTTTTTATTTAATTTATACATATTCTCTTACTTCAGTTTTCATTTAATATTATTACATATTTGTTAAAATACATATTTATAATACTTAATTATTTAAAACGATATATTATTTAATTAAAAAAAAAAAAACAAAACAAGTAAAATTGCGATGCTTTAAGCTTTTAAAAAATCTTTTTAATTGCAAATCAAATTTTAAAATTTTCCGATGAAATTTGTATATTACATTAGATATATGGTAAACTTTTATTTACATCAAAGAGATACTGACATTAGTTAACTTTTTTTCATATCTCGAATATAAAAATACTTTTTATTTTCTTTTAAACGAATAATAATAACACATAAATTATTTAAGAATTATAAACAGTTTTTAATAAGTCGTATTTAGATCTAAATTTTTCAATTTAACACATGTTACAATTTACTAGATACAAATTTAATTATTGAAATATTAAAAATAAAACTTTCTGAATAATTTCATATTTTATATTATAATTTTATGATTTATATGCTTAATTTATCTGATTTTTTGCTGATTTTGAAAATTTATTATGAACAAAATTTTGGAATGCGTGATTTTTACAAATAATACCAATTTTATTGTTACAATGTTACATTAAATCAACATGAATCATTATTTAGCCAAATATTTTTAAACTTTAAATGTAAATTTGATCAGAAAGTTTATTTTTTTTTACATCAGCCAGAGTATCTATGTCCTCAAATTAGGCTTTTCCACTAATCGGTTTTTGATTCGGTTTTTCTGAATCTTTTTCCAGTTGTTTACCGAGGTACTCCCTAGAAAGAATTGTTAATTTGTTTTTTAATTTAATTTAATTTATAAATAACAAAAAAAAACGCTTTACTTAGATTTTGATATTAATTGTTAAAACAATTAATAGAAATTATTTAATAGAAATTAGTTCAGTTTTTATATTATTCGGCTGCTTTTCCAGTAAGCAAGTCAGAATTTAATAATATCAAATCGTAGTTCGAAATAAAGTCGAATATTTGAATATGGACAAAATATTTGCATAATTTTTTGTTTAACTTACCAATTATGGACCATTAACTTTTGAACAGCTAACAAAGCTTCATAACGCACATTCGGATCTTCATGACTTAATAACTGCATTACCAATTGTTTTCCACCAAGCTGTTCGATTACACTAAACAATTTAATTAACATAAAAAAAAAATTAATATGTTAAAAATAATATAATAACAGTGACAAAACGATTTTCAGCCTTACTGCTTTCCTCTTGGATAATGTCTAACGTATTCCCCAATATCGTAACTGGCAACAGATAAAACTAGTGGATCTCTTGATGTCTCTAACAAATGAACTAAAATTCTTAATAACTCATAATTTTTCTCATTCAAACGTTGAGCATTTTCACGCCAGAATTTTGCTGATTTATGTACAGGAGACCATTCCAAACGACCACTTTTAACTTCAGTTGCATATTCATCGAATGATGATAGATCTTGAACCGAATTTTGTAATTTTTCACTCAAAAATTCAATATCAGCAATGATATCTTCGTCGTCAAAACGACGTTGTTGAAGAATCGAAATTTGTTTTAGTACTTTTGACTGTACCATTGCAATACAATGCTCTTTAGCTACTTGCGGTTCTTCTGGTTTTTCAATTAAATTGCGAAATACTGCCAAAATTATTCTTGTGACCTATATACGTATGCATCAAAAAGTAAATTATAGAATAATTTATTTTCTTAAAAAAGTACCTTTTCTTTGGCACAGTCATTTAAAATATCGGCCAATATTGGAATAACATTAAATTTATTCATCTTTTCTGCTAATAATGGATTAAATGTTAAAACCCATAAGCAGAAAACAAGCTGATACTGAACCTAAAAAGTACGTTTTAATGAATAAATGGACTTTTATTGAAATAATGCATCAGTTTACTTGGAAGTTTACTCTTGATGAAAGTATACTTATAATTGTACTTATACCATCAACGGAGACGAAAGCAAATCGATATTCGTCAACACGTAACATCATTTGAAGGCAACGACCAACTGATTGTATATATTCGTTACTCTGTATATAATATAAAAATAATAATTATATTAAAAATGTAAAATTATACAAAATTCAATGATGTTTTATTAGTTTCTAAGTGTTAAACTTTGTTAAAATTATTGATTATTTTCTTAATACGACACCGAAAAAATTTCTACATTTATAAAAATTTTAATTAAAATATTATTACTTTCACCTTGTAATTACCCTTAGATAATCTCAAATCTACTTTGCTAATCTTTACTAATTGCATTAGGAGTTGGTTAGTGTATTAAATTAGGTAATCAAAACCCTTATATATTTACGTTTATAATGATAGAAATTATTACCAAAATAGTTCAACCAATACTATTTTTGGATCGATACTATTACAGTCAAACCTATATTTTTCAATTAATAAATGATCGAACGCGATTCATCACATTTTAAAAATTTTTGTACTTAATCCATTTTAATTCCTAAATCTGAAAAAAGAAAATCACACAGCACTCTACCGGTATTACTTGAAGTTTTCCATCACCAGAAATTGTTGGTGTGCCAGGTACTGAAGTATTTCCTTCTGGAATTTCTTTATATGTTTCATGTACTGATTGATTTTGATGACCATTCCCATGATGTTGAAAGTGATATTTTGAATCGTGATGATGTCCATGGTGATGTCCATGACCATGTGAATGATGGCCATGTAAATGGACTACAGTTGTTATACGCTTAGATATTTCTGCCATTTCTTTTACATATTCAGTCGCCTTTTTTCATTTAAATATCGTGTATTTAATTTAATACAAAATTTTCCGCATGTACATATTGGAAAATACATATTGTATGTATATATGTACGTTATAAAAAAAAATTTCAAAACAACAAGTTGTTGAATTCCAATGGAAATTTTATTTAAGTATGTACATATAAAATAAAAATTATAAATTAATATAAATTCTTAAAATTCTTTTCGCAATTTGCAATGAAATCTTCATCAAAATTTGAAAATGTAAGCAAAAATGTCAAAGAAAAAAGACACTTATAGGACTTTAAAAATAATCAAAAGTACTTAAATGAAGAACAAACTCTTTATATTCTTAATTATGATTAGGATGCAGAATTGATTCACAAAACAAACTACGAATTAATTATAGTTTAAAAGTTAGAAAATGGAAATGTAAATTTAAATTTTTAATAAAAATTCCCTTTTTAACAAATTTAAATGAAATTTTAACACAAACATTATTTTAAATATGTTTAATTCTAAATTTTTCATCTCCACATTACATATGCATATGTATATATATATATAATATTACGAATTATATATATATATATTACGAATTATATATATATATGAATATATATATATTACGAATTTATTGAAGTGTTATAGAGTAAATTCATTCGTACAGAGGCATGAAATTCAAACAAAATATAAGAAATTGAATTTTTTTATAGGAACTTTTAAAATATACACGTTTATAATTATAGAAATTATTACCAAAATATTAATAGAGTTAATCGAAACAATGTGAAATTTGTGCCATTTTTTCTAAGATATTTGAATAAAATGTTGGTTTAATATTATTTAACCAATTCTTGATAAAAACAAAAGTGAAACATAAAAACTAACAAATCGATATTTAAAATATGTTCATGTATATATATATATTTATATATATACATATATATGTATGCACCTAATCCTCCATTCATTAATTTTTTAAATATGTTCATTAAAATTAGCCGCAAAAAATAATTTTATCGCTAAAAATTATTTTTGAAACTACTAAAATTTTTTTGTAATCCCTTGCATTATTCGCGAACAATCTATTTTTATAGGTAGAATTTTCGTACAATCATTTTTGCGAATTTTATTCTAAAGATTTTTTCAAATGAATAATTCTTCCATTTTTTGTACCGTTTATCGCGTTTAAAATATTTAACCCAAAAAACTACAATTTTTAACGTAAAACATATAATTTCTATTAGTCTGAAACATAACTCTAAATTCATATAATTCATTGCGAGTCGATTTAATAAAATTAGTAGAAAATAGAAAGAACCATATGAACATAATTTGGAGTTAAAGAAAAATTAATACCAGTCAAAAGTCACAATTTCTAAAAAAATCTGGTATATAATAAAATTAAAAAAGTTATTTTCCAAAAATACGTATGTTTCTACTATGAAGGTAAATGTATATTAATTAACTTGTACTTAAATACAAACACAAACTGGTTACAATATTTAATTTCATTAAATTAGTAAGTTGACGCGTTCTGTACTGTTATATTATGAATATATATAGTAATATTATGTGATTTCTAAACTTAGTCCCAGCATATTTTTTGTTAGTAATTAATTTTTATTATTAAAACCAATATTAAGCTTATTAGTATTAATAAATTGATCATTTTTTTTAATTAAATGTTGATAATCAATATGAGTAGCGTGCAATTATATTGTTTCCAATTATATATGCATTCATTCAATTAGTTTTAGATTCAATTATATCCAAATTGTTTAAAAATTGAATTATATTTATGATTTTTGAAATAAAATAATTTATACATATATGAACTTACATGTTCAACGAGCTGATCTTTTAGAAATTGCAAATAGAAATTCAAATCAGATTTCGGCATCATAACTTTTCCCCAACAGGCTAATTTTGCTATAATTCTGGACGACATGTTAACAATGAAAGGATCTTGGCGATTTAATAAATTCAAAAATGCACCCCATACTTCTTGTTTACGTTTAGCTGAATAATCATGAAAGATATTTACTCTTGTGCGATCTTCTTGCAAAATGTCATCAATCATGACCAATAAGTATTGAATGGTTTGGTCTTTTGTAATATGAGATATCATATTCAATAATGTTTTGGCTGTTTGACTAGGTTGTTTTTGCAAATAATCAGCACGTTCTGGCCCATCTAATGAGGTAACACATTGGAATTCATCATTAGAAATAATTTTTGATTGAGCATAAGTTTGCCAATTTGGTTTATTTTGACGAACATCCCCTGCCTGTTGTTGCAACACACTAGTTGCAGCAATCATATCTTAAAAATAAAATTGGATAGCAATTGTAGTTTAAATTTAATAAAATCTTTAAAATTCTGATCTTATGATTAAGTTTTGTACCTACTTAATATTTATAAAACAATAAACTTACCAATGTTTTCTTCAGGAAGCTGAGGAATCATATTTTTTACATTTGCAGCAGACATAATTTTTGTTTAATAGCTCCAGATGTTGAAATAATTTTAATAAAACTTAAATCGAATAATGTTAAAATTACAATTTTTCTACGACGAAAATCAATTTTTGCTCACCTGACAGCTGGTCTTGTGACTTCGCTCTCATAAAAAGTCAATTTTGACAAACACCCATATAACATAAAAATTTCATTTGATTTTAAAATTTAATCGAATAAACAAAAATGTTTACTGGATAAATTTACTTCAAGTTCAGCTGGTAAGCAATGTCAGAATATAAATAATAAAACTAAAGTTAATTTTGATATGTTTATCTTGATTCAATGATTAGAAGAACAATTTCTTTACTTGGAACGGAAAATGGTTTTAGCTTTCGAGACCAACCCAACCTCCAATGAAAAGAAAATTTTCAACAACCTCGGGGGTCCTCATGGATTAGGTTATTTTTTTGCCATTAAATTATATTAAGCACGAGTAAAGATTTCATATTTGCATAGGTGATCCTAATGATAGATCCTTACGTCGCGTTGAAAAGGAAGTTATGATTCCAAAAATCATGAGAGATCGAGCGAAAGAAATGCATTGCTCTAAAGAAGTAAAAGAATTTGAATCTTGTTGTAAAAACCATAATCTTCTAATGGTAATAAAATGTAGACAAGAAAATAGTGCCCTGAAAGATTGTTTAGGGAAATGGTATAAGAATGAGCAATTTCAAAACGAATGCAAAGAAATATATTTAGAAGAACGCGCGGAATATCGTAGAACTGGAATACCAAAAAAACATCGCGTACAAAAAATCTAATAAAAAACAAGAAAAATGTTTTGTAAAAATCTATTGTAATGTTTGAAGCTTATTGAAATACAAAATTAATTATTTCTAGATATATCAAACCTTTTCAGAACTATTTCGATCACTTTGAACTCAGTTAATCTAGAAAATACTTGATTTAAGTCTGTGATATCTAGGTCCACCGGTTTGATGACTTGCAAAACCATTACATCTTTATCTGCGGATTCAGCTACTCGTTGTATAACTTGGATACTTCTAGTCATTAAAGGTAAGTTATCAGCCAAAATTACAACAAAACTTGCATGATATAGACGAACATTCTCCTTGTATAATACTACAATCATTTATCGAAACTATATTCAGTATCAAAACTATACTAAACTATACTTACAAAAATTTGCACCATATTTAATTCCAGTTTTAATTATCCATTGATTGTATTTTAAATAAAGGTATGCCACTAAGCAATTGATAAAATTCGGCTTCAACTCACAAAATTTAACAAATAGTTCGAAATTATTTATGACATTTCCTTGAATGTCTGTAATTTCTAATGTTTTAACAAAATGAGCCAATAAAAATGCTTCTTCTAGATCCAAAACTAAAGTTTCACATGAATGTACGGTTTCATCGGAGGTAGGAAAATCTTTATTTCTTCTGACAATATTTGGAGCACTTCTTGAGGCGGAACCTTTTCCAAAACAACCATTATTGTATATTAAAGAAAAATTAGAACTATCAATCACTTCAACGGAAAACCCGTTAAAAATTGCATTTATCTTTTCCTTTTCGACTAATGGAAATGGCAAACTTTTTATTTTTTCTGCTAAATAGAAAAACTTTTTCTTTTTCAACTTTAATTTGTACGTCATATTTTATAATATATTTGTTTTTACAAATGATCCTCGCTTATCCATATCAATGGATCAATATAGAACACAAATTTTTAGTGTACATTATATGTGTACCTATAGTAAATACATCAACATGCAGTGATGTACGCAAGGGCAAGGTGCCCAAAACTGAAATCAAAAAAAAATATAAGAAAATTCTAAATATAGAAAATCAGATGTTCTTCGCTATTTAACTATTTATACATATATGGTTGCGAGACAGAATTAAATTTTAACTTTAATTATTAACAAACTATTTTTAATAATTGTTATATTATTAACAAATTATTAAAAATAATAAACTTTATCCCCGTGAACGTAATTTTTAATACCAAAATGTTATTATTTAATTTTTTGACAAGTTGAAATTTTAAAAACATATTCTTTGACGTTATCAAAAGATAAGTCAATTATTTTTCAATCAAAACTAGCTGCGAGGCTTATTACCACGGCTGATGTTTTTGTCATGTCAAGCTTATTACATAATTATAGTTAAATTGATTACTGAGAAACAGCTGACTTTGTATTTCTTTCACTTATAAAACTATGTAGCTTATCCACGACGGCTGATAGAAATGATATATTTTGGTTATGTTAAGAGCTTCTCTAACTACATAAAAGAAGTTCAAAACTGAAATCTCATAGAAAAAGTTTATTACGCTTTCAAAACTTAAAATCATTTGTTAAAGGTAACAAGCCCCGAAGGCAGCTTCAAAATATCTTGCTTAAATAGTAACTGAGTCATTTTTTGACAATGTCAAAAAATATGTTTAAATAAGAACCACTTGCCAAAATATTAAAACATAATTGTTGTGGAAAACGCCACACTCATACGATAAACTTTATATTTCTTATCTAAGTTAAATGGATAAAATTTAATACGATTCTTCATTATAAACATTGAAATACATTTAAACCAATTTCAATTTTCATTTAGAATTTTTTAAAAATTAAAATTTCCGTAAACAAACTGTCGTGCAACAAAAAATAATAAGCGACATCTACTGACGCGATAATTTGACGCTATATGTATTTAGGTTGCACTTGCACCTTCATACAGCTGAAAAATGGGTTTGTAGGTGTTTCATTCGTACAATAACAAGATCTATTAAATGACAATTTAAATGAGAAAGGTATTATTAGAATTTTAAAAAATATTAAAAACATCAAATCAAAAGCAAATCAATTAAAAATTTTTAATTTAGGAAGACGTATTGTAGAATTTGGCATATATAAAATATATGGATGGCGCAGTTCACTTGGTAAGTTCAGTCGGAAATGAATTTGCAATTTTCTACTTGAAAGTAATTTTAATAAACTAAATTTAGGTATCACCAACAAAAATGTGATGAAAATGGTAGAAACAAAATCCCTAACGACCAGGTACCTTTATGTTCCATTACGGATGTTCAGTTGAGATTCCTTTGTCCGGATGACATAGATGATGTATGATGGGACTTTAATTTTGACTGCTTAGCTTAAAAAAAATAATTTTAGGTACGCACTTTGTGCCAAGATTGGTTTCCTATTGATTATCCGCTTGCGTGGTATGAAGCAATTACCTCAAGCTCCCGTTTCTTTGCTTTGGCGGCTGTATACAACCTAGCTATTATTGGTTTAATCGTGGCCGAAATAAGACCTTATCGTCATTTAAGTAAAGAGGTAATTTTATTATTAAATTCAAGAACAATGAATAAGTACTTCTATATAAAGATTAAATATATATTTTAAATTAGGACAAAGGTATTTTACCGGATTCAATGGGGCGCACTGCAGACGTTGGTTATATATTATCTTTAGGAGTTCATAGAAAACATAGGCGTAATGGAATAGCATCGCTGTTATTAGATTCATTAATTCATCATTTAACGACGGCAGAAAGATTTAGTGTGAAAGCCATTTTTCTACATGTATTAACAACTAATCAGCCAGCAATTTTATTTTATGAAAAACGAAAGTAAATTATTTCTTATGAACTATTTAAAATTATTGTAGGATTTCTTAAAATTATTTTAGGTTTCGTCTACATTCATTTTTACCTTATTATTATAATATAAGAGGAAAAGGAAAAGATGGTTTTACGTATGTAACATATATAAATGGAGGACACCCACCTTGGGGCTTATTATATCCTTTTCAAGACAATAATGTTTTGTTATATTCTTGATTATTTATTTAATTAATTTTGTTTAAGTTTTATGTCGTGTATATACATATATCGGGAATAAAATTTCCTTTTTCTCAATCTTCTTGCTCTTCATTTTTCAATTTCTTTATTTGTCTCAGTGACTTACCTTTCTAAAGTAATTTTTTAATCCTAATCTCTTAAAGTTCTATCTTATTAAAATTAAAAATTTTTTTTTCATATATTTTTATAAATTTTGTATAATTTTGAGTATACTCGTGTGCGAATTATATTATGTATATATGTGGCAAAAAATCATTTTTTCTTAGTTAATTTTTCTATTTAATTCCTTAACTCCGGTGCACAGATCATATTAAATATTGGAGTTCAAAAATTTTATCAGTTGGTGGATTTTGCAGTTGGATTGGAAGCCGTATTCAGCACGTTTTTCATTGGTTGTTTCGTAGAACTGTTTCAAGATTTAATTTTGCACATTGAGGACTAATTTGAATTTATTTTTTGTTTTTAACATAGAGTTTAAACTGAAGAAGTTTTTTTTATATTTTTTCAAATATATGTATTATTTTTAGATAAATACATATATACAGTCTTACATACACGTTTTCTCATAAAAATTTGTTACGGTTTCTATGTAAACATACACACATTATGTATGTACATATATTTAAAATTTTAGCTACAATTTAAAACAAAAATCTGTTAAATCTTTATTTAATATTTATTAGAAAAAAAGTATTTATTTCACATATATAGAAGAAAACCTTAACAGAACTACAATTTAATTTTTCATATGTATTATGTTATTAAGTTTTAAAAAGTGAATAACGTGTAGGTTCAAAAATGATATTAGCGCAAATAATTTATATGAAACCAAATCGTTTATTAAATTGCACAATTTTTTTTTTTTAAATCGTTTAAGGATTATTGTAATTTTATTGATATGGAATGCATTCTTCAAATATGTGATTATTAAAAAGAATTACAAGTTTGATTTACGCCGGCTATAAAGTAGATTTTTTTAGTAAAAAAGAACAAAATATAATAAACATTTAAATTTGATTATTAATAATAATTTAATTTCAGTTTTAAAAATTAATTGTTTTTTTTTTTGACTTGCGACAAGTTAGTTTTTATTCAAAAGTATGTATATGTATATTAAGTAATTTATTTAAATATGGAAAATAATTTGGAAAGGTTTTCTTACCTAATCAATCTTTGGTTTGCAAAAATAACATACAATTTAAAAATTTCCCATAGAAAGAATGCATTTTACATAATTAGTTTTAAGAAAATGTGTATTATTACTTCTAGAAATACCAAAGTATATATATATATATGTATGTATGTATATATATATTTTTTTATTTTACCTGACTTATTATTAATATACATATAAACTTTATTATATTAGAGCTTTGATTAAGCTTATTGACAAATTAATAAATATTTTTTTTATATTTTTAATGTAAAATTAAGTAATTTGAGCACATTGGATATAATAACTGCCAATATGAAAAATTTACATTTATATAAAAAAAAAGCTAAAGTATTTTGATTTAAGATAATTTTATGTTATTTCTGCCTAATTCTTCCTTATTTGATTTGATTTAAATTAATTAATCAAATAGTGTGAATCAATAGAAAAAAATTCAAGTCAAACGTTTTGCTAGTCTTTTATTATATTAATTGAATTTATAATATTTTCATAAAGGTCTGGACAAAAATATTAAATAATCAAAAACATATATACATATAAAACGATTATACATCGATTTTGGTTCTTCTAAATATAAAATTTATGAAATTTTAAATTATTTGCAAAATTTTGCTATATATTTACATTAAAATACTAAATTAATTAAAATTTATATAAAAATTATTCGAAATACTAATAAATTTTTTTGTTCAAATAAAAATGAAATGATTAGAAATTCTAATATTAAGGTGGTATTCATGTAATAAGTTTAGTAAAATTTGAAAAATCAAAAATTATTTAAAAGTCTAAAATCTAAACTTAAATTATTATGTATAAAAATTTGAAAATCTGAATTTTTAAAAATTTTCATAAATTGTTATTCTTACTTTGATTTACATATTTGGAAACAGAAAAATTAAAGTTTTATTTTTTAAAATAAAATCAAATCTGATAGTAATAAACTGCCCTAGCTAAGAAAAAAACGTTGTGATAAAAAATTGATGAATTAATTTAATGATTCAAAAGGGAAATAAAACTAAATAGAATATTTAGCAGAAATATTTATAAATTTCTTATTAAATATATTTATGTAAATTAAAATTAGAAATAATCAAAGAAAAATGAAAAAAAAATGCATTAGTTCGAAATTAATCGATAATTAATTTTATTATAAATTTATTATCTTCCTTTATATTTAGATAAAAAAAAAATTAAAACAGTATACGTATATAATGCTTGAAATATTGTTCTTTCTTCATATTTTTTTGCTATTTATAAATTAATTACTAATTTTCATGGAATAAATGTTGCATAATTTAGTGTATAGTATTATATAAAATCTTGAAAGTAATTTTAGCTTTATTTTTAGTTTTATTATTTTTTTTAGTTCAAATTTAAAAATATATATTTTAAACAAGATTTAGAAAGGAATATATGTAAATGTATGTATTATAACAAATCTCAAAACTTACAATGAAAAAAAAATTTTATTATTACAAGATCCCTGAACACAAAAATCGTATTGAATGAATATCAAAAATAAATCAAAATGTGATTTTAGATCAAAATAAAAAATTTTAAAATCTTTAATATTAATATTTACGATTTAATTTCTTAATAAAATATTTTATGATTAATTTAAATATTTTTTTAATATATGAATTTTTATCTAATACTTTGTTATAATACGAGTATCATAATATTTTCATAAATTTTTTCTATAATAGCTTTTTTTTTTTGCTTCGGTTAAACGTTTAATTTTAATAATAATTTTCAGGGATTACTAAAATTTAATATTAAAAAAAAAAGGAAGATGCCAAAAAAATAATTGAATATAAAAATTAAAAAAAAATAAAAAAACAAAAATAGATTAATTAATATAAGAATGTAATTTGTTAAATTTATAGTTGTTAAGTTAAAATATTTCTATTAAACTGTGGACGCATAAACGTAAAGTTTATGTTCTTTATTATTTTACTGAAGTGCTCGTTGTTTAAATGTTATTTCATTTTTTTTTACATATTATATTTTCAATGTATAAAAGAGAGACACTGTGTAAATAAATATTAAAATGTTTGAAAATATTTTTAAAATTTTGTGTAATCTTTTCTTTATTAATTTTATATTTCGAATATCTTATAGACTCAATATTATGCTGCAAATGTTTAATGAAGAAGAACTGTGATGAAGTGAAGAAGAGATGGCCTATATTTTTATTTAAATACAATTATTATTGTTGCTTTATGTTTTGATTAACCCAATTTGTATTAGAAAAATTCTTGTTTTATTCGAATTTTTGGAGAATTAATAATAATTTGTTTTTCAAATATTTATACTTATTAACTGTTTTTAATATTTACATTTATTAATAATTTGTTAAATGACGATTTCTATTAGAAATTAAGAGAATTTTCAATGTCTTTTTGAACTTATAGTACCAACCAATAGAATTTGGGAAAACAAAGTTATCAGTAATCAAGTACTGATTTCTGATCAGCTCTGATTTTGATGAGGAGCAAGCAAAATACCTATTTAAAACTTGAATACTAATTTAACTATTTGACTACATGTATGCATTTTGTATTTTATAATTTTACATTTAAAGAATTGCGTGTGTTTAATTTAAAATGTGTACCGTGTACAATAGTTATTTAACTTATATGCTTTTTACACCTTAAAAAATAAAATACTAAATGAATAAAACTATAAGGTAATCAAATATAATTTATTTACATATAATTTTCTGATTCTTTTTATATAATACCCATTTTTTTTTATTTAAATTTTAAACTGAATATTTAATAGCTAATATAGCAAAAATAATACAATAAACAATAAATGAAAGTCTATCGATTGCAACTGCAAAAGTTATCCAATCATTTTTTATAATTTTCTTTGATGTTGATGGTGATGACAATTCAAATATTTGGGGATCTTGTGAACTATTTCCATCAATTTTTGGTTCATCTTCATCATTATTTACTGTGTTGTCAACACTTACACTTAAGTGTGATAAACAAAGTATGTTGCAAACATGATTATTTAAGATATTCCTCAAGTATTGCGGTAATCGTTTTTCATGATTAATATCTGCTATATATATCACACAAACAGATATAATCATTGAGAAACTTGTTAAAAGTAAACTGTTGCATAAAAATAAAACTATACGAGAAATAATTTTTAATATGTGACGTATTTTTTCCATTTTAAAAAAAAAAAATTACCTATTAGTGGTGTATGATCAGCTAAAATTGGTAGCAATTGTCCAAAATACATTAAAAATGCTAATATTAATAGAGCATTGATACCATTTAGTAAAATCTTTTCTCCACATTGTGGCGGTAACCAAAAACTAGATAAGATCATTAAAATAATACATGTTGCTGGTGTTATTATTAATATTCTATGTAAAGCGGTTCTACGTTGTAACTCAAAACTAAATTCAACATAATCATAATTTGTTATTGGATCAGTTCCATTCTGAACTACTATTTTATTTGTTTTCCATTCAGAAATAACTTTATCTTCTTCACTTGTATCAAAGCATCGTTCTTGTTTTTTTGGAAAAAATTTTATATCTCTTGATGCCCATGTACCTAATTTAAGTGAACAATTTTGTTTATCATATGGCCATAATGAAAAATCCATATCACAAAAAACTTTAAATTCATGTGGCGGAACCCATAACATACTGCCATCATTATATGCAATCATTAAAGTATCTGGATATGTTTCCATTGATTGATCAACAGAATTAAATGCAACAACTTCCGGTTGCCATATTTCATGTACAGCAAAATTTAAAAATGATATATTACTATAATCATTACGATTCCAAACAAGTTTAGGATCTTTCCATTCCTATATATACATATATCGCATTAATATAAATAAAAATTTGTTAATTGTAGTAAAACATACAAGTATTTAAAATATATATATTTTGATCTATAATTAATATTATAAAATCAAATCAATAGTAATTTTGTATAAAATTTATATAATACTTACTATTACAAGCCATAAATATATTTTAAATATTCCAGCATGTTCATCTAAATCAATTGCTATATAATTAACACATAATGATATAAGTGGTTTTGAAGACGGTTTCGAATACTTATCGTAATTAACTAATAAATCACGTTTTAAACGATCTAATTCATTATCTTTTGATAATTGTATTGTTGTTGTATTTGTAGTGGCTGAAAATTAAAATTTTCAAAATTATTGAACATTTATTTATTAAAATTATGAATTACTCATATATATATATATATATATATATATATATATATATTTACAAAAACAAGGGTTCTTAAAAAATAAATAAAATATTTCAGTTGTTATACTTAATAAGCTTGAACAAAGTATGAAAACATAAATGCAATTAATGAAAATTAATTAGAAAGTTGGAATGACCCTTATAATGGTCGGCGAAGGGAATGAAATTTTTGACGAGTATATATTTTTGGTATTACGATTAGCGAATTCGCCTAATGGAAAAATCTAAACTATCTGCAAACTAAGTTCATAAAATTCTACAAATTATTGTAAAAAATATTGATTGTTTAGCATAGATTTATTATTTTCGGTAGCAATATTTTTTTGATCTGGCGAATGAAAGTAAAAATATCATTCGATTCGCCTAGCCCATTCGACTCGCCTAGTCCATTCGACTCGCCTAGCCATTCGCTTCGTCGATCATAATAAGGGTATATATAGTTTTTGACTTTGTTCGAATGAAATTAAAGTTGCCTCGTCATAAACGAAATATTGTTATTATAATTATATTAAAAATCGAACCCTGTAAATAGTGTTATATTCGTATATATAAGTAATACTATATTTGTTACTTTACATCAAATTTAATCCAATAATGATATGTCCAGAAGGAAGTTCTATTTATTATTACATATGTATATACTTACCAGGTTCATCATTTTCAGCTGTTATTAATTTTATTCCGAAAAAAAGACAAAAAATAATTATTGTTCTTTTTTTTAATATCATTTTTATTGAAATATTGTGTATTTTTTGTTTTTGGAATTACTAGAACGCGAATATATACAGAAAAAAAAGTAAATTAAATGAATGCGATAATAATTTATTTATTCTCGTTTTTATTATATTGTAACAAAATTTCACTTATCAATTTTAATTTTTTTTTTTTGTATTATCACTAGAACAGACCGAAGGAAACTGAATTTAGTCTTTTAAAGGGAATACTAATTTTATTACATTTTTGAGAATAAAAATTTGTTACTTTACTTTTTCTTTATTCATTAATATATATAATATGGTATGTATGCATGTATATATATATATAATCAAGAGTGGGGCTTTAAAATCTCTTTTTTACATTATTGTATATAGTCTAGGTATTATTTATCATTATATTATTAAGAAGGAAATTTTTAAAAAATCTCAAAATGTACACATACATTACATACATAATTTAAAGTGATATTTGAGTATAAAAATCAAAAGTGATATACTCTTATAATTATGTATGTATTTTGAATAATTTTGTATATTAAAAATAAGATCAAAATAAATATTATTAATTGAGAAAAATAATTTAATTTTTATGTATAGATTTAAACAAAAATACGGTTCGAAGCATAAATTATTAAATATTTTTTTTTGAAAATTACTAGCGATATTAATAAATTGTAAAATGCAAATTTTAAAGTTAAAAATTATGTATGTATGCGTTTATAACTTATACAAATAGGTAAAAATATGCAAAAAAATGTATAGGTACAAAGGGTATATTTTGTAACTGGTTAACGGTAGATATTTTCCGTTATTTATAAATTCTGTTATTATAAGGTTTATAAGACTAGTTTTAACAATAATTATTTGTTTCTACATTTTTATGTGTATATGAGAATAATCACATTTTATATTGGAAGGCAAATATATAGGGACACAAATAAATATTGCAATTAATAGGCATGAAAATTACAATAAAAATTTAGACTTTAAAAATTTTTGAATATCTTAATTCTTATTGTTTTAGCTAAATTACACAAATATATAGGTTATTTTAATTGAAATACTTGTTTGCAAAGCGAAATAATATTGTTTTTTTTTTTTTTGTAATTTATGTTAAGATTTTAAATAAATGTTATGGTATGTGTGAAAATTTTGAAATCTAAATTTACTTGAACTGTTATAATTTTTGTTCAGAATACATATGCTGCTTTCTTATTTGAAATATTTAATTAATTAACTTATTTTAAACTTAGCTTATGTCTTAAACTTAACAACGTATATGTGAACTAAAAACTTATTGAAAATAAAAATAAATTATTATTAAACCTCGTATACATATATAATATTAAAATATTTTCAAAAAAAAACATTTTTTTTTATTATATAATCTAATTGAATTAATTTCATAAGCATTTTAAAATATTTTTTGTTACTTAAATAGCCTAGATTAGATTATAAATAACTAATAAAATTTTAATGAATCTTCCAAAAAGAAAAACTTATTACCTATTATGTTTATACTCGTACATACACGACTAAGAGTATACATATTATAATAGAAATACAATGTACTTTTTCCTTATGTTGAAATTACTTGAATTATATAGAAAACGTTTATAAGCCATTTAATCTTTGTTGCATATATGGGAACATAAGTCTAATGCAGAACTAAATAAAATTTTCGCATACAAAGCAACAAGCCATGCAAAATTATATACTTTTTTCTAGGTGGGAACCACTCATATTATATTATACATTAACACATTTCGGTAGGAAGATGGTGTTACGGATTCACTAGTATAATGTATCTTAATTGCAATCCATTTTATATGGATGTCTTCCTAAAAACCTAAAAAACGCAAAATCAATGTATTAGTTTTTTAATTCTATATAAGATAAAATGAAATAAACAGCTTAATGTAGCATTTAACATGGATTTGATTTATTCATAGCAGCGAGATGTCCATATTATATAGTTTGATGTTAGTCTTATGTCAATATATAAAACACAAGTGAATTGCTACTAATTTTTGCTGCAAGAATTCTCTAAAAAGAAACAATTTTTGGAAGAAATTAAAAAATATATATATATTTTTTAAGAAAATATCCCAAATATGTAAATGTTGTTACCTTAATTATAAAAATATCCTAAAGTTGAGATCACAAATTTGTAATACATATCAGTGATGTAAATTCAAAAAAATTTTCGATTCTCAGTGTAACAAACCAGAATTCAAAGTACTACTTTATCGATCTGTGTAATAAGTATTGTAATATATAATATCTGTGTATTCATATTTTAGCCATAAAAATTTTAGAGTTAGACAATTTCTACTTCCTTGTAATTTTAGTTAAATTTTGTTCACTGTTGTCGTTGCAAATAAAGTTGTAAATAATGATCTCTATTTTGTGTTTTTTTCAAAATTATTGAGTCACATTTCAACCAATCGGAATATTACACATATTACATTTCTTATATTGGTTTTTGATGATTGCTAAAATTTCCTTGGGCAGCATTTTAGATTTCTTGGTTCTGAAGCATCCGCGCTCGTTACATCATGCTTGCAATATTTTTTTTTATGATTTGGATTGTAGGTTATAGTAAAATGATCATCTTTTAAAAGCTGGCAATGCCCCAACTGGAGTATTTGTAATCCACTAAATTAAAAAAATTAAAAAAACAATAAGTGTGTTCAAAATTGAAATATTCGCAAACTCACAATACTGTAGTATTTATATACATATCTATTTGTCACTAATATGACGTGTTAAAAACAATTAATAATATAGACTGATTTTAGGAAATTTGACAATAGTAAATAATAGTAAAAAAGTTGACAAACGAAATAAACTATTGTATTCGATATAATACAAGAAAGAATTAGGATTTTATTCCTAATAAAAGAAATATTTTTATATAATATAATGAACATACACAAGTAGAAAGTATCACAACACCACACAAATTTAGTTTTAAAAACATCGCATTTGGCATGTGAAAGTATGACATTCTTCATCCCTGGTACGTACTCTATGCATAATATACAAACATGTTTAGTTTATTATTTCCTTATTTATATTTTGTCACTTTTGCAAAATGCTCTTGATAAAAATAATATTAACAATAATCCATTATTATTCACTCAATTTATATATTTATTTTTAAAGTATATAAATCAAAATATTTTAATAAAATATGATAAAATTAAATTATGATGTAAGAAAATTTCTCTCTTTCTGAATTTGAATGAAATGTTCTTAAAATATATACATATAATTTTTAAGTAGAGACCTCAACCATTGTTCAACCACTTAATGTCAGCAAAAAGTAACAAATTGTAATACATTTTTTTCTATTTAATTTATCATATATAATATAAAAAAAAACATTTACTATAATATAACAATAATAATAAAATTCTTTATTATGAAAGCATAATATTTTGTTATTATTATACGAATACATATTATATTCCAAATTTAATTAAATGCTTTTTTTCCTATTTTGTAATGGGATTAATATTATTATCAGAGAGAAGTGAGGTTTTTCTTTAAGATTCTTAGAAAACATTAAATAAAATATCTACTATTAAATTATGCTTTGATTAAGAAAGTATTTTGTTATACACACATAAGTGATACGTGCATATTGTATAAACATACAATATAATATTTATGTCGAATATTTTTGTATAGGAAAGTAGAACTTTAAAAATAATAAAAATTAATTTTATAATATTATATTTATAACAATAATACATAATAATATTTTTTTATAAGGGTGCGTATGGATATTGAAAAATATTATAATTCTCATTTGAAAAAACAAACTAATGCAACATGTTATTTTTCAGAAATATCTTGGTATTTGTGGTTTTCTTAATTTTTAGTGCGGCTTAATATTTTCAATTTTAGAAAAAAATATTTTAGTTTAATCTTGCAGTTTATATCGTTCGGTTGAAAATAATGTTTAAATTATTCAAATATATTTTGTGTTTCATTTTAATTGGATTTTATTCAGTGTCAGTTGTTGCTGATGGTAAGTTTTATTTAAATTAACTTGTAAATATTAATTAATATCGAAAAGTGTTATACATTTTCAAAATAAAGACTGTAGGACAACAAAAATATATAATTTAAATTTTCAATTGTAATTTTGAATTCATTACATACGAAACATTTAATTTAATTTTAATTGAGATTAGAATTTTTAATTTTCGTTCATTTTCACTTGGTCTCCTTCAAAATAAATTTTTAAATAAAACAGCAATAAAAGATACAATAATCTGTGTATCCTTCTATTTTAATCTTTTATATATAGAATCATCTTGGATTACATCTGAAGAAAGTCTCCGTAAAGCATTACTTTCCAATTATATACAAACAGTTATTCCAGTTGAAAATCACACTCATCCTATTAATGTTAATGTTGCATTGATTGTTAATCATATTGATATAAGTGATATTGATACAAAAGCTATACTACATGGTTCTTTAGATTTAGTAAGTTACTTTTAAATTTAATAATTTTTATAATATCAAACAGAAAATTCGAATATAGTTTATAAAAAATTTTTTAAAACTTATTTAATTTTGAATTTATTTAGCAATGGAATGATAATAAATTACAATGGAATCCAAATGATTTTGGTGGTCTTAATAGTATTTATTTGACAAAAGAAAAATTATGGGTACCTGATTTATCTTTATATAATACTGCAAATGGTATTCTTTTAAATATTAAACATGAAGGAACTATAAAATTATCATCAAATGGAAAAATACATTGGACACCACATGTTAAATTGGAAACATACTGTAGATTAAGTTTAAAATATTGGCCATTCGATAAACAAACATGTCCTTTTATATTAGGATCATGGGTACATTCTAGTCGTGCTCTAATACCATATTTAAGTGAAAATCGTCCAATTCTTGATATTTTAGCAAATAATCATAATTGGAAAATAACTAATACACATTCATTTATTGAAGAAAAAATTTATGCATGCTGTCCAGATCCATATCCATCAATAACATTTACATTTGACTTGGATAGAAAATCTCCAATGTTAGTTTGGTTAATAATAACAATAATATCAAGTATAATATTAATGTGTTTGGCAGCATTCTGGATTCCACCATGTCGTGGTGAAAAGATTTTATTAAATGGTATAGCACTACTATTGAATGGTTATTGTATAAAATATTTTATAGAAAAATTACCAAATTTTTCACAAGATTTACCATTAATAAGTAAGTTTTCGTTTTTACATGCATATATATATATATATATATATATATATATATATATATGTATATATATAACAATTAGTTTAAAATTTTTATATTTGCTTGTTTTTTTATTTGTGATCAATTTTACAGTTACAATACAAGTTTCAACATTTATTTTGCTTACAATATCAGTAATTGTATCAATAATCTTATTAAGAATTTCAAGTAATTCTTGTGGAAATGGAAAAATTAATCAAGGATTTAATAGAATTTTACGTAATAAGAAACTTAATCAAATATTATGTTTACCATATAGAGATGAAGATGGCATTCAAAAAGATCAAACTGAGCTTAAAGATCATTTTGAAGATGGAAAATCAGCTGATAGTAATTTATTAATTAAGAAACAACAGAATTTAGGAAATAGCGAAAATGATGGACTTATTCTAGCGATATTTATCGATAGAATATTTTTCTATATATATATAATAATATTTTTAATTTTAATTTTAGTATGCTTTATATAAATATACTTGAAAATGGAAAAATAAAATATAAAATATAACGATTCATTAACGATGCCATTCCACAAATTACACATTTATGCTGTATAAATGCTATAGTGAAAAATAAATATTGAATTTTAAAAATTAACGCCAAATACTCAGTTACACATTTCTCACCTTGCTATCAGTTCTTTTGTGCCATTTAATTTCAAACATTTAAGTAAAAAAAATCATATACAAATTCACAATAATCCACAACTGTATATGTATGTAACAGGTTTTTAAAATTGTAGAATATTGTTTAAAAAATATCGAGGTGGACGCATATGCAGACGACCTTGCTATCCTTGTTTCTGGGTTTGACCATCCAACGATCGTGTACAGTGACTTAGAAAGATCCCTGACCGAGGCAAGTAGACTTAAAATAAACCCGTTGAAAACGGAGCTAATACTTTTAACGATAAAAAAAAAATCCGGACTACCAGCTTCTGAGAATGGGTTGTGTTACACACGCTATTAGTCCGACGGTTAAGCAGTTAGGTATTGTGTTGGACCCAAGTTTTAACCTGCATACCTCTTTACAGCTGCAACAAGATGATTTTGTAGCAGTTGTACAACGATCCTTGCAATATGAAGCTGTTGTGTGGTAGCCGGCTATAAAACCGTACCAAGATAGGTAGGGTTCAAAGAATTGCAAGTATCTCCAATTGCTTCCGGTGGAATTACATATTGCAAGCCTGGCGGTCAGCCAGGGTGATCTGTTACACTCGCCACGTCAACCAGCTAACCAACTATGTAGATCGTATTTAAAAAAAACCCATTTCAGTTTCAAGTAAGTCAAATTGGGAAAAACGTTACTCGGTTTCAAAAAATTAAGTGAATTGCGTAAATTTGATTTCTTTTAATTTTTTTGAATAAATTTGGCTTTCCCAACATTTCAAAGAGGTTTTCTTTTTTTTTTATATATTCTAAACTCTTTATTATTTCGAAAATCAAGGGTCGCGTGTAGGTGTGAGTAATTAAAAACTGTCCATTTACCATTAATGGTTGCTACTAATGTAGAAAACTTTTATATGTCCAGCTTTTATTACACAAAATATTTCTGAATTTACGTCCTTAAGATTTGTCCATAAAGTCTCAGCAGGATACTTTTAATTCTCCAAAATAATATTTTACAAATTTTTTCTGCTTTTGAATAGCATTTTTCCTTTGTTTTTATGTTGGTCCGTATTTTACATCTCAGTACAACATCTTTACATATACAATATTCTTAAGGGTCATAGTGGAAAGGAATAAAATCCATTTTTTTTTATATGTATGTATTATTAAAGGAACAATTTTATTTGTCATATTTTTTATGTAGATAACTTTTTTTTTACTATATTTTACTGCTTTGTTTTTTTTCTTACGATGTAACATTTTTGTATTTCATAATATAATCAAAAGACTCAAATAATTATTCAACCAACAAATTACTGGTGTGTAATCACTTAATAATTAAAATTAAACATATTTTATGATACCGTAAAATTAATTATTATTATTATTACTATTATCATTATTATTATTATTATTATTGTTACTAGTATTAGTGGTAAATGCATGACCTATTGACGATGATGTTGACGGTCTTGGTTCATAATTTGGTGGCGGAGAATATGGCCAATATGATGTGCTTGGAAATCTGTGAGCAGTTACAGCAGCAACAAATTGATGACTTGTATGACCAGCTTGTATTGAAACTCCAGTATTTGTACAACTCGAACCTCCACTACCAATTATTGATCCTGATGTATTAATTGTTGATGATAATAATGATATTGAAGATGGTATATTTATAGTATTTGAAGGAGATCTTGTTGTTATATTAGTACCAGATGAAACTGTTGTTTGTATACCAGATGCTGTAGTAACAGTTGCTGAAGTTGGACTGGCATACGGGCTTAATGAAGTTGATGATGATGAAGGTGATGGACCAGCTGATACTAATTGCATAGGAGATGGTGATTGTAAATCACTTTGTGAATGAAATCCTGAATGATGACCAGCTAATGGATGAATATGTGATGGATGTGGATGATGATGATGATGATGATGATGTTTATAATTTGCAGATGCAGTTAACATAGCACTTGTTGCATCACAGCCTTGTGATTGAGCTTGACAAGCTTGCATTAATCCATGAAAATCAAATTTATATGCATAACGTTTTCCATGTACTTTTGTCATAATATTTTTATCGTAATAGTACCTGAGAATACAGAAAAAAAAAAACAAATTAAAAAAAAATTATTAAAATAAAAGAGAAATTTAACTAAAACAATCTGCTACTATTAAATATACACAAACATACACAGACAGAAGATATATTTTATACTTGCATATATAGATAAAAGGGATCACAAAATATTTTTTTGCGGAATCGCAAAAATATTTGTTATGTAACACTAGTAAAACTGGTCAAAGAATCCAGGAATTCATTAGCAATTTAATTTTATTTTCTGTTCATTCTATTTTTCTTCCCATATTTGGTTTTACAAGATTTTGTATACCTACCATATTATAGGTGAATGGAATACAACATTGAATATTATTTGAGTGAATCATTTTATTTTTATGTTCATTGAAGATTTTTTTTTTGTGTCTTATTCACATAATTGCGTTTTCACAGAATTTACGATGATGCGTACTTTTGGAATTTATTTTATAAAAACTTTAAGACCTTCTATAGAATTTAAGTGGTATATATGAAAATGAAATATATAGCAACAAAATTAAAAATTTATTTTTACATAACCAATTAATTTGTTGTAGATTAGAAGGTCAGAAATGTTGAATGTAAGGAATAAAAACGCATTATAAGGCCCATTATTTTGTCTATAATGAAGCGATTTTTTTTTCTAAATCTATGCCGTATGTATTTTATTCAAAAAAAAATCTGAAGAGAAGAAGTTAAAAAAATTTCTTCTGCTTTTTACGTATATACGATTGTGCTCCTATGTAAATCATTTTTTTGTAAATAGCACAATTCTTAATAACTGGCTAATTAAAAATTAGAGCAATTTAATTTAATAAATGATGAAATTTTAAAATTAAGAAATCCAATTTTTCCTTAACTCTTATTTGACTGGTATTGATAAGTAAAAGCCGATGAAATCTCATCTTTTCCAAAAAAAATGTTGAGTAAAGTTACAGAACTTAGTTACTTTCAGTTCGTAAGAAATTGTTTGGTTAGTAGGTTGAAGTGGTCGGTGCAGTATTCTAGCCCTACCACAATTAGTACATTAAACATTTTACTAACATATTGAAAAAAATCGAGGAAATACAATTGCAAAGATAACATTTCTGATTATAAAATTGGAAAAATTCTGAGTTGAAGATGGTTAAAAAAGATGACTCAAAAAGTGAGATACAGATTAAGACTATTTAATAGTCTAAGTTTCTTATAAATGATTATAAATGTAGATAACATTTTATTTATATTTAAGAACGGATACATACATAAAACAACTTAATGTTAGGTCACAATGTGACCCACTTTTTGAAAACTTAAATATGACGATCAAATATGACATTAACTATAAAAATCAAGCACATACTTGTTTATTTGCAATTACCGTAATTTGTAATAAAATTTAGAATGTCAAAGTCGCCAGATAAATGATTATTACAAACGCTTTCAAAAGGTACAAAGTTCCAAATAAAGCACAGAATTGACTAAAATTCATTTAGACTGAATAACTTTATTCTGAAAATAAACGGCGAGAAATTTAAACTAAATAAAGCGGGAAAATTTTTTTTTCCGACGGCAACTATTTAACTTTCAAATACACAAAACTTTTTAACAGGAACAATGATATACCTATATATGTATGTATATAAACACACATATATATAATTTCAACACAAACATAATACAATTGCCTATACATTTGAACCGAATGTAAAAAAGTTTAAAAATAAATAGAAAATTTTTTATCCTTTCTCCTAAAACTATGCAATCTTATTTTATTCTAATGTACGTACTATACGGTCTCTATAGAAATCTACATATAAATATTTTCACTTACAAAACACATACACAAACATATTAAAATTTTGTATTTTCACCACCCTTATTATTATTATTATTATTATTGTTATGTTTGTAAATGTGTTTTTTTTCAATTCTTTTCCGTTATACATTCACTAATATTACTTTGGAAAAAAATATTTTTTATTAAGGTATTTGTGTTGTATAAAGAAACTCACCTTAAAGCTCTACTAAGTTTATCATAATTCATATTTGGTTTAGCTTTACGTTCACCCCATCTTCGAGCGACTTCATCTGGATCTAAGAGCTTAAATTCACCATTATGTCCCTCCCATGTAATATAAGATGAATTTGACGAATCCGCAAGCATTTCAAGTAAAAATTGCCATAATTGAATTTGACCTGAACCTTGTGCTACCAATCGGTGTGAAGCAGCATTTAAAAGCTGATATGGATCTATGGTGAAAAATTAAATTAAAAAAAAAAAAATGAAGGAGAAATATTAAAAATTTCAAAAATAAATAAAAAAGGAAAAAAAGAATTTTGTGCTTATATGATTTTTTTTTTATTTTATTATTTTTTTTTTTGCTTATAAAATTTAAAGTTAATTCATTGGCCCTAATAAAATGGTTGATATTTTTGTTTTTGTATTATTTTGTGGTTACCTATTTGTTGTTGTTATGTTTTTTTTTTCTAAGGTAAATTTGAAGTTTAAAGTATTTACATATTGTACTCGTATATTTAATTTTTTAAGAAAATGGCGGCTATTTCTTGAAAGTGGCAAGATATTTATGTATATTATAGTTGTTTATATGTATTTATAGTTCATGGCTGTATTTAAGTGGAACCGACCATTTGAAGGTCGTCTAATGACTTATTTCATAAAGTCAATGATGAAAAGTTTAATTAGAATTAATGTTTTTTGTAAAGTTGTTCATGTACAAACCTTAATAAATTTTAATTTAGAAAAATGCTATAAAGTTTTGGATGATAAAGAAAATGCCGAGGAATTGAAGGATATTTTGGTTTCAATTAATTTAATTGAATTTTGCCACAAAGAGTAAGTGATGAATAATAAATTGGAAAACCAAAGATTTATACAAAAGTTGACATATAAGAAAACTCAGTCTTTATAGAAATAAAAAATCTAATTTTGATCTTTGAGAAATTGCAGTGCTAACTTCAAACATAAGTTATTGAATATAAGTTTTATAGCATCCCAAGAACCTTTAATTGATATATAAGTGTATTTGCTCCAATAAGCTGTTTTTATTCTCCGTTAACGTGGAAACAACTCTAAAAACTCTACTCCTTTCTCAAATCTCTACTCCTTTTCCATTTATTAAGCGGCGTTCCGTTTATCCCAGTAACAAACTTTCATAAGACGGAACAACTTAGAATTCTATTCTGAGTAAAAGTAAACTTATGAGGTCGAGAATGCTTTTCTGTTTCGTGTTATTACGTTATAATGTAAAACAGCCAGAAAAAGATGCAAAGTAAGTTTACTACATAATGATTTATTTCTTTTTCTTCTGGTAAATTTGTTATTTCCAATTTCTTCAACCAACTTCTGGTAAATTTGTCATTTTCTATTTTAGGAACAAAGTTATTTATTCTCAAAGAAAAGAAGAATAAATGAAACTAACGGTGCCAAAAGAGAAATCAGTTTCAGAAGAAATAAGCTAAGATTAGAGAAGGGCAAGAGAATGAATTTTTTTTTACGTATTATATTCTTGCAGTTTGAACTCTAATAAAGCCAATACAATGTAAAATGTTCCAGAACAGGGAAAGCTGGAATTTAAAGCAGACACTGAAACAAACGAATGAGCCAAAATCTTATTACCTTGTTGAATGAGCCGAAATATTATTACCTTGTTGAATGAGCCGATATCTTATTACCATGCTGAATTCAATATTACACTGTGCTAAACATAATTATCAAAAGCCACTAATGTGAAAAATGGTAACCCGCAAGAAAACCCGGTTGAGCATATTTTTTAAGGATCAGCCAAATCAAATATTTGACGAGTTCAAGAGAAGTCACGGCGATATGCGTAAATTGAAATTTCAGTCTTCAAATTCCATTTTCAGTTGAGATAATTATTTCTCCAAACACAAAACTTGTAAATTTCAACCACTTCTTTACTATATGATAAATATAATTGTGTTGATATGTTCAAGAAATACATACATCGTGAATTAGAAATATAAATTATTCGGCTATGACAGGCGCTTTGCAAGCTGAAAAGGGGGACAGTTCAATAAACTGAAAATCGGACTAAAGAGTGATGGCAATGATATTTAAGGTAAACCAAGGAAAACATGGAAAAAGTAAATAACGGAAAAGATCAAAGGTGCAGCAGCAAAATTTATGAGTAATAAAGCAAGTAGCCCAAAACATTGTTAAATAATGCAATTTGGCGTAGAGGCTTTTTGCTTACCATGGTGGCGAAGAATACAAAACAAAAAAAGAATTGAAGTAGCGAAATTTTTACTCAAAATTTAAAAAAGTAAAACATTCTGTATAAATATATAGATGTATGTGCGTACGTATATACAATAATTTTTTATTTAAATATGTTATGACAAATAATTTGTTTGTTAAATTAAAAAACAAATTGTCTATTTGCTATACATTGAAAAATTCTAATGAAAAACGTCAGAGTTCGTTAAATAATTTTCTTCCAAATGGCGCCATTATTCACTGAATTTTATTTTATTATTTCGAGGACGGTGGGGTATCGCTAAGATTATGCAGTATATAAGATGATAATGAAAACGAAAAAATTGTTTCGAACATTATGAATTTCTTTATCCACTCAGAATTACAACAACAAAAAGTTTTATGCAAATTTTCTTATTTTGTATTTAACATTCTATTTCCCACAGTACCTACAAATGGGTTATTGCATGCATGTGTATATATTTTCAAAATCAACCAATATGTTATTCATATTACGTTTGAACGCACTGGTGAGGAGAGAGACTAATATAAATTTCCTTGGCACGGTGTCCGTCTGTGGAATCGGATCATATATTGTTCGTTGGAACTAAGTAAGCAATCAGAGAGGTGGCGGTCAGAGCACTGGAAGATTATAACCAGAAGCGATTTAAGTTGATTATAGGGTTGGGCGAGAATCAAGTGAGAATTCTCATCGAGGTCTTGTAGGGGCCGGGGAACTAAAGACATTTGTAAATTCTGTGAAAAAATGAGGAGACCTCAGTACACCTTCAGTACATGGGGGAATGTGGTGCTCTTCCAATCGTAGGAGAAGAGATATAATACAGGATTTTGTTCTCACAAGGGCAGAGCACTCAAGATTATCAGTGGAGTGGATATCGAACGAGTGCTGTAGAGGCATCCCGGCATTTCGAGTTGGAATGTGTTAAATGTACGGCTCCCAAAACTACTTCTTTACTTAAATGGAAACCCTCCCTTCAAGAAATATTTGTTTGATCAATTTAGTACTCAATTTCGGTGACTGTTCAATTTTCACAAATTTTATTTAATTCGTGAGTGGTTAAATATAGCACCCAACCATTTTATATTTTGGATAAAATACCACATTCAAATGTCTTTAAATGTTATTCAGTGCGTTGCATAAACAAATTTGTGTTGTGTACTTTTTTGTGCAGCCTCAAATTTTATCAGTATACATTCATTTTTCGGCCACAATCTAGCAGGAACAACCAACTTAAATTTCGAAACAATTATCGCTTAAAATATAAAGACACGCACATATACTTATACCTTCAAATATTTATTAAACAATTATAAATAAATAAAAGAATATTAAAAATTCTAGTGAAAAAGATTTGAATTCTCGCGAAATTCTTCCAAAAAAAAAAAAACTGTACACTTCATAAGTACGAATAAATTCGTATAGATAAAAATATAAAGAGTACATTAAATTTTGAAAGCATGTTCTAATTTTAATCTTAAAAAGCGCAAGGTGAGAAAATCTATAAGTACAGCTTTTATTGTGCTATATATTTTTAAGTGTTAGTCCCTTATAAAGTTTAATAAACTGATATCAGTAATTTCTGGTATAGAGATAAAAAAAATTAATTTATCAATCATACGAATTCAATAGAAGGAAAGTTCAAACACATGTTCGAATGTTTATATTTACTTTGTATAATTTCTTTCACATACCAATACTATAAATATACGAAAATGTTTACTGTACGCAATAATATGTATGTATATATGTACGTTGCGTAGCTGAATTACGTAATAATTTCGCAGAAAAACGGGTTATTATGACACATCGATTTTTGAAACATACAGTTGATGTCAAATTGTGCGAAAACATACGCGATTGAATTTGATTTAAAAGAGGCCTTAAACATTATGTCAAACATATTACGAAACTGTCAAGTATTACAGAATTTTAGTTACAAATATTCTGTCAAAGTATGGTAAGAAAAATAAAAATTTAGATCATGACTCTTATATCATTTGGTCTTATCGTTTATGCACTTCCAAAATTTAACAATCATTTGTCTTTTTTTTTAAAAGAAATTAATTTGAGAAAAAAATATAGTAACAAAAAACAAGAGTTTACTGTTTTTTATAATTTTTTTTTGTTTAAATTTGATATTAAATTGTAGTTGCATTAGGGTTTCATTATTCGAAAAAATAAACAAAACATAAGTGGATTGATAAAGATAAATTGGCCAGGTACCTATATGTTGGGTTTTTGAAGTTTAAAATTTTTGCAAATTTAAAAATTTGTTTTATCTCCCATTATAAATGTGAGTACATATTATTTACACTTGTATAATAGGTATTTAGTTTTATATGTTATGTTTATGCAACAAGGGGATTCACCATATTAGAATTTATAAAATTTTGTATTAGAAGCTTTAATAAATAATCTGAAATTAATATGCAGATAGAGATGGGGAGAAACTAGTAATTTTGCAATTTAAAATTTTTGTACGTACTTAACGTGTCAACTTTTTTTAAAGATTGGAATAAAAATATATTCATATCACTCCTACACTCCAAATTATAAATACTTATGTATGTGTACAGCTCTTAAAAGTCGTCAAAATACAAATTTTAATTGGACTGTGCGACTTTTTATTTCTGTAAATAGAAAACTATCTGGATAAGAAATTCCACACAAATGTCCGACTGTCCAATAATTAATCCTGCAACTTAGCCGTTACTTCAAACAGAATTTCGTTCATTTTGGAGTCATTTTTCTTCTATACACGGCAACACGAATTTCACTCAAATTTTAAAAGTTTGCGTTTTATAGTGATAAATAATTTATGTATTTTGTTTGAACAAAATTTTCACAATTACTTCTCTCGATTTAACAAAATTATAACTAACTTTGATAGAAGTAAATAAACTAATTACCACAAATTTAGCCTGCTAAAGTTTATAAAATAAAAATTACAAGCTTCATATGTAATATGGGTAATATTTTTTAGTTTTAAAT